ACAGGTACTCCAATCCACATGCCCATCCATCTAATAATCGTTTCGGCAATGACGCTTGACGATTTCCATACGGCGAGTGTGACTCACACAAGTTTCGGGCCTAAAAAAGTGCAGCCCTGAGTGTGTTTCTTTTTTTGTTTCTTCAGTCCGAAACAGGTAACCCGAAACCAGTTTCACCGGCCATCTTCGGCAAAGAAATGCGCAGAAATAATTTAATTGGTCCGAAGCCATCAACATCATCGGCGATCCGTTGCGTAAATGCGTTGGCCATGCCACGTGTCATCGACCAAGTTGAAAAAGCCCAAAGACCCAAATCACAAATCCGAGATCTGAAATCAAAAAATCAAAAATCCGGAATACCAGTTAGTCAGGCGAAATAGCCAAAGCCTGAAGATGCAGCTGACCTTGTGCCGAATCTGTGTCGAGAAAAAACCCAAGCCCCAAAAGACAACTCTTTGATTCGTTGACTCTTTTTCTTTTTTTTTTTTTTTTTTTTTTTTGCTTATTTTTTTATGTGACTCTCACTCTTTTACTTTACGTACTTCTTCGTGGGCGTTGAAAGGCCCCGAGGGGCTCTTCGATAAGACCTAGGGTAAGCCGATGGGGCTTAGCCCCCAACATTGACATTGAAAAGAGAGAGAGAGAGAGAGAGACAGGAGGGGAAGGAGAGACAGAGAGAGCGAGAGAAGAAAGAGCAACGAGACCTGAATACGGAATATGCATAACCCCAGCCATCCAGGAAGTAATCCAACTATTTAAAAAAAAACAACTGAAAGACCAACTATCTGAGGCACTCGAATGGATCTTTTGCCCGGGATTCGGAGTTTGCGCATCTTCGAGCATAAAATTGCCACACGAGCCGCGTTTTATTATGTGACTCAATTAGGCAACCGCCGAGGGTAATTATTACAAAGCAGAAAAGCGCAGAAATGGCCCGAGCAATTATGAATTATGGCCTGAGTAACGATGCAGATGTTAGCCAGCCCATAAACGTCGATCATTTCGGTGGCAGCAGGTAGTTGGAAAATACAAATCATATTTTTAAGTGCAACAAGTTGTTAGATATTTAAATTTTATTACCTAATTTATTAAACAAATAACAATTAATCAAGTTCCCAAGGGAAAAAGTAATGTCATTTAAAATAATTGGAAAAATATTTTAAGCTTAATATTTCAGGAAATCTTATTAAATAGTTTCGTTGATCTCATAAAAAGATTTTGTTTTTGAAGACACCCAAACATAAATCTAAAGTAGTACCATTATATCTCTTTAATGTATCTAAGAAAAGGTAAAAAAGAAATATAACTGAAACCAGACAGCGTATAAATACGAAACCCAAAGAATTCCAGCACAAAATGTGAGAACTAATGTGTCCTCCCGATGCGATCTAATAGACACACCTCAGCAACGAGTACACAGAACGCTTCACCCAAGTTCAAAGACTTTGTGGCTTTATAGCCGAGTTGCGTGTTAAATGACAGGAAATTTATTTGGCCAAGACAAACGCGAAGATCTTAAATCCACAACACACGCCTCTAATGTCACCACATTACCGGCAATTTGGCTTTGGGGTTCTAATGACAAAGCCAAATACTAGTACGCAATTGCCGAATTTAGTTTCCCAAAATGATTGTTTGAATTTCGGAGGTCCAAACCTTTGACACAACCAATTAGAAGGAAATGCAAACCTGATTGAATCTGACTTATTGGCACTTCTAACAAGAATTCCTATAGCCTAAAATACAATATACAAATCTTGACGAGTGATGTTTATGGATTGATGAATTTATGGTGGTCTCAAGAGCAAACTTAAGTTATGTGGACTTTAACAACCGCCAGCAACTCACTATTCGGCAATTCGAAAATTTATTTTCCCATAAACAAAACTGTATTCAACAAAATGTTGTTGGAAAGAATTACGTAATAGTATTTCGAAATCCAATTTTAATTTTAATTGCACTTCTGTTTCTACGAAAGAAAAATTCTGCAACTGAAATAAAGGTCACAATAAATCCAAGAATTGCTTCTAAATAGATAATAATATTTATGAATTTCAATGAGTTATTCTTTTTGGTTCTTGTGACGCAGATCATTAAACAATTAAATGCTTTCCTTGCCTTAATTAAACTGTTAGCAGTTGGGACGCGTTGCCGGTGTTTTTTATGATTAATTTTACAATCTTCGATTTCGCGACGTTTCGCAACTGAAAGTGGTGAAAAAAAATAATTTATAAAAATAGCAAAAGGCGAAACAACAAAAGGTATTTGTATAATGGCAACTATTTGACGGCGCAGAGCACATTATTTATTGCCATTATATTTATACAATCGTTTCATCAATCAAATGGATTTCAACAGCTTTGTCGCCGGCTTTTTGGCCTGGCTTTTCGAGCCCCGCCCTCATTGTTTTTTCGCCACTCATTATGGTCGACTGCGATCTCGGTTTTAGTGTGTTAACACATTTGCCCACCCCGCCTTTGTCCTTACCTTCAGTTGAGCACACATATATCTTAATCTTCTTGCAAATATTTTGCGCGATTCAAGTGCACAATTTGATCTTGGGCAGGCTCTCAATGAAATTTCTGCGAAATTGTAAACAGCCTTTGGGTGGAAGGTATTTAATTGGATAACTTAATGTGCTTTGGCTATTATTTTTTATTAAGTTTTCTATTTTTGAATTGGATGTCATGTTAAATGGTTTAGGTTTTCAATTTAATAAGTATCTTATTATATCTAACAAAATAGTATCTTAGAAAATTATGGGAATTTTTAGATTTTTCAGTGTTTGCTAAATCAAATATGACACCCTCAAGGTTCTTAAAAAGTTGACTGTCCCAAAATTTGGTTTATTGGTAATAAAAAATTATTTTTTATATATTTTCCATTGGCTTTTTACCTATTTGGCAATTACTTTTTTGATTCATAAAAAATAAATAATGGTGGAAACTAAAACATTATTTTTATAGTACAGAAAATAAAAAGCAAAATTTATTTAATGCATTTAAGCACTTTTTGCCATTATCCACTAATATGTATTGTAAGATCTCGAAAATCATCCGTGTTTTTTTAAGGTGCATTGGTCTCGTGAATCTCGATTTACCCACCTGCCAAACCGCTTTCCCCCGACCTATATAGTATTATCATATATATAGTATATGAACGATCACATGCCGAACGACCTTCCGAATCGGCGGACAAGAATACACGATGAAATCTGTTTTCAATCTGTTTTCGGCATCGACTTTCGGTAGCCGCTACCAAGTTCATCTGGCCAGGGGATTGGGTTTGCTTTTGGCCATGTCACCTTGATAACCCCATTGTCTGTCCCATCTGTTGATCTTGTTCGGCTCCAGCTTCGACTTCGACTTCGAATTCAGCTTCCATTTACCATTTACCATTTAACCAAGAGCGTTAAACGCCTGAATGACACGTTCAATTGAAGAAGTACATATCTCACATCGGAGTGTTTATATGACAACCCATTTGCCCATTTGCCCATTTGCCATGTACTGGCGTATCGATGGGGGTCTGGTGATGAAATGCTTGCTACCAGCAAATCAAATGACCTCAATCGCTAAATTAAATTGAAAACATGTTTAAGCATTGCACAGAGATCCGATGAGGGAGTCTGGAAATAAAAAGCATTTTTATTGTCTTGTATTTGGTGTTCAAATAGGCTTAAAGATATACCAACTAATGTAATATACTCTATATATTTTTTTCGGTCTTGTGTTAAATCCAAAAACATCTATTTTCTAAAAATATTTTAAATAGACTAGAATATATAAAATATATTTTCTCATTAATAAAATTTTTAAATATATTTAAGTACTAAAATCAATTGATAACCATTTGCTTCCGCCTTCAACAACTCTGCCGTGTTTAGTTGACTTTTGTTTGTCGGCCTTTGGAATCGGTAAACACTTCTGATTTCGGCACATGCAAATGCAAATGGAAATGCTGGCAGAGATTTCCGTTTGGGACGGCTCCTCATGGCCTCATGGTCATGGCCGAAGTCTTGTGTAACCCAGACTGACTTACACTGCCGTGCAGTTCCTGCTTTTGGCCAAGGCTTCGGGGAAGTGGAAGTGGCATAGTGGCAGTGGCAGCAGTGGTTACTAGTTACTAGTCACTAGATGCTCGATGCTCATGTAAGAGTTGCCATTTTCCTCGTGTCAACACCACGCAACAGAAACAAAAGACCATTGCATGACTTAAGTTTCCATTTTCGAACCCAAAAGCACCGATACAAAAATAAAAACCAAGAAAAAATATAAAACTGGTTGGACACAGTCCCAGTTTCCAGTCGGTGCCTCAAGTCCCCGATCTGTTTGGCAACTGGTTGCAAGAAAACGAAAACAAAATAGCAAAAGTGCCTCAGCTCTCTGCAAATAAATCAGCCAAGTTGCATTGCCCACGGACCAAATGCACTGCCTCCATTTAGCTGGAGTATTTACGTATTTTACCTATTAATTGTCTGCTAATAATGACAGCCCGAAAGTTAGAGCCATTTGGAATATCAAAATATTAATATCTGACCAGAAAAATATGGAATATACAACAACTTAAATTACACAACTTGAAAAGTAAAGGAATATAAATTTATAAATGTCAGATTAAAGTTATAGATATTAATAGAAACTTACATATATGAACAAAACTAGAAGATGACTGATATATGTGAATTTAAAGATTGTTTATTTAGGATATTGTAAATTAATATTCAACATATTTTGAGCTAAAAATTACATTTTTATACCCTCATTTTAATCATTGTTAGGGTATTTCTTGGGTCGCTCAATCCATAAATCATCGAGATGATGGCGGCTTTTTGAAGTTGGCAGCTTGACGGCTGCGCTGCAATTGCATAATGGCCAGCTTATATATGTATTACATGTGCCCCATTCATTTCCACTGGCCGCCGGAGCAGTCAGCATGTTGCACTTCGAACGCTTCTGACGCCCTTCTCTTTTCTCTTTCTCGCACCTTTTTTTGCGCAGTGGACGATGCTTCCGGTCACTACACATCCGGTTTCTTCTACGGCAACAACTACTGGATGGGTTCGTTGGCCCTCTGCGATGCCATTGACGACGGCCTGATCGCTGCCCCCAGCAAGGACAACAGCTCCTCCTCCTCCTCCTCCGCCCCCTCCGCGGGTTCCCAATCTCCGCCAGAAACGGGAACCAAGAACAGCGGACTGCCCTTCGCCGCGGCTCACACCCAAGGATACAGCAGTGTATACAACGCTCCGCCGCCCTTCGTCCCCGGATTCTACGTGGTCAAGATGCAGCTCAACGAGTCGCTGCCCACCCAAGTGGTAAGTAATAACGATTGAAATCCAAATTGAATTTTAATTTGCATGCAGTGCAATTGAATGCCAAGAAGGCAGTGCAAACAATTCAAATAACTATGAGCATAAGCACTTTATTTACATTTTTAATAAATATAAAAATAATTATTTACTTAATTCGTTTTGGAATTTATCAAAAGTTTTCACTTCCAAAAAAAGTACATTTTGTTGAATCTCTGAATATTTCTTATTTATTTACTCATATTTTACAAATTGCTTAATGCTTCATGCATGGAATTCTATTTTAATCCGATACAAAACATTTTCTATAATTGTAGGTATTATTAAACAACAAAATGAATGAAATATATTATTTATAAATATGTTTAAACACATTGAGAGAATGTAGAAACATTTTAAATAAGTAACTAAAGTCAGTTGAACACTTTCTTAATCAATCAATATAATTTAATATTGACTTATCACGTTTTTCGCCTGACTTTCCCCCAGCTGCGCACCATTTACGTGGGCATGTGCCTGCCCTCCAGCTGCTCCATCGCGGACATCAGCCAGATGAGCTCCAAGGCCCACGTGGAGCTGCCGTCGAGGGATCTCCGTGTGCTGGACATCCGCGTGCCCACCGACAAGGAGTTCAACATCTGGGCGGACAAGACCTTCTGCCTGCTCATGTAAGTGGCCCAGAAAAATACACTCGTATACACTCGGATTGAAAGACAACCGAAAAACCCAATCAAGAGTTCACTTTCAAAAATGCCTGGCTGCGCTAAACAATTGATCAAATATCAAGCTGAGCTTTTGGCCAGTTGGTTTTGGCCATTAGCGTTGAGTCAGTTGGATTGTGTGTGAAATTTTGTTTCCCCCAAATCGAATTATAATAAAAAGCGAAACTTCATTTGCTTGCTTTCGATATTAGCGGGTAATATGATTATACGCTTCCCTATCTCTTCTCAAATTGCACGGAAAACAATTTTCTTATTGTTCAAAATGTAGCATTTAAAAATAACAAAAAAATGTAGTTTCTTTTTAATTATTTAAACTTTCTAACTTGTAAAACATTTTTATGCATTTGAATAGGGAATTCAAAAATTGATTAAATTTTCTATATTAAAAGTATAAATAATTGCAGTTTTTTTAAAAAGAAATTTTTCGAATATAATTAAATATATTTTTAATGTCTTGAAAGAAGGATAAAATTTGTATGCATTCTTGACAGTAATTGAATTTCTTTAAGATATTATATACAATGTTTCCTGAATAATTAAATATCTGTAATGAAATATAGGTTCCAATTAAATTGATCTATTTTACCCTTTTACCAGTTTAATACATTTAGGGTTTTATCTCGAAGTAAACCTTTATGGCTTCCATAAAAATAGAATAGATTATTTATGCACTATAAAAACTAATGAAATCTATCCTGTTTGCAGTGTGGTGTCCAGTATTGTGCTGGCACTGATCTGTTGCGGTACGCTGTACGAGATCTACCTGCGTGGCAAGCTGAAGGAGGCACTGCGTCGCCAGGACAAGGAGATGATGAACAACAGCGAGACGAGCTCGGGCATTGGGTGTGCCTCCTCCGACTACAGCGACACGATGACCGCCCACGACGATCCGCTGAAGCAGTCGACCCGAACCCACGATCACGATCACGACCATGTCCACTCCCACTCGCAGTCGAGTTCGCTGAAGCAACTGGATGCACTGGTGTTGAACCTACCGCCCAATGACAACGACAGCGGAAACGGACACCACGAGGCGGATCACCACGACCACCACGATCACCATCGCGGTGGAAGCAACACGAGCAACTCGGACGAGCACCTGGAGGGTCATCTCCACGAACCCGAAAAGCTGAGCATCTACTCGGAACTGCTGCTCTCCTTCTCGGCCATAACGAACTTCAATGCCATTTGCGATCGGAATGTGGGTGCGGATACGATTCCCTGCATCCACGGACTGCGGGCGTTCAGCATGGCCTGGGTGATCCTGGGACACACCTGCATTGTGGTCTTCAAGTACTCCGACAACATGGAGATGCGCAAGGAGGTGGAGCAGAACTTCTTCTTCCAGGCCATCACCAATGGCCCGTTCTCGGTGGACACGTTCTTCTTCATCAGTGGCTTCCTCATCTCCTACATTTACTTCCGCACGAATGCCAAGGGAAAGCTGAACAAGCTGAGCAAGGGAGCCAATGAGTTCACCGCAGGAACGGCGCACTTCTTTGGACTCGTCGCTTACCGCTTCATGCGACTCACCGCTCCGTATCTGTTCGTCCTGGGCGTGGTCCAGGTCACCATGAAGTACCTCGCCACCTACTCGATCTTCGATCCCCCGACCATGGACCACATCACCTGCCCCGACTACTGGTGGCGCAACATCCTCTACATCAACACGCTCTTCCCCGTCGACGAGATGGTGAGTAAAAGGGGTCCAATGGGATATAAATTAAATATAAAATATAAAATAAATAAATTCATATAAAAAATATGAAAAAAATATATAATAAGTAACGGAAGTTTTAATATTTTGTCACACAAAATAGATCAAAAGAAAAAATGCTGAGAGCTTAAAACATGCTCATTTAACATAAACTTGAAATAACCACCCATTATTGAATTGATTTTTAAATCAAATTAAAATTTAAAACAGTAAAATTGCTCATACGCAGTGTTGACTACGGTTACGCATTCAATACTCATATTACTCATACGCAGTGTTGGATCTGCTTGTCTTGATTAAATATAGGTACACTTAGGGACAGTTTATAATTATACGCTATAATTTATTTACACTATAATATTTGTTTTTATTCATTTAATCAAATGCCTTCCTTCCCTTTCCTTTTTATCCGTAGTGCATGCTGTGGAGTTGGTATTTGGCGAACGACACGCAGTTCTACATGATCGGCGCCATCATCCTGATCGTGGGCGTGCGGCACTTCAAGCTGTCGGCCATCACGACGCTGGTGTTCCTGGTGCTCTCGTGGATCACGACGGCGGTGATTGCCTTCACCAACAACCATCGCCCGAACACGGACGATCCGCTGGCGCTGTTCGACAAGATCTACGACAAGCCGTGGACGCGACTCGGACCCTATCTCATTGGCATGGCGGTGGGCTGGATCCTCTTCCGGACGAACTGCAAGATCCGGCTGCCCAGGCTCACAGTGGCCACCGCCTGGACTCTGGCCATGCTCAACCTTTTCGTGCTCGTCTTCGGACTGTATAAAGCCGACCTATCGCAGTTCACCGCCGCCGCTTACAGTTCGCTGAGTCACTCGGCCTGGGCGCTCTCCCTCGCCTGGATCACCATCGCCTGCTCCACGGGATACGGTGGCTACATCAACTCGCTGCTCTCCGCCCCCTGCCTGTATCCCTTCTCCCGCGTCACCTACTGCGCCTACCTGGTCCACCCGATCGTCATCCGCTCCATGGCGCTCAACTCGGACGCGCCTCTCCACCTGGGCGGCGATCTGATGGTGAGTGAAAATGGGAAACTAAAACATACAATTTGAATGTGTTTATAATCGCAATTAAAGCATTTAAATGTGAATAAGACATAGTTATAGTAATTCTTCGATTGCCTAGAGTTTTTGTTCTGTTTTATAATTGGAAAAAAACAAAGCTAGATCTATAATTAATTAATATTCACAGGTACCATAAGTTGTTACCCTGTTTGTAATCAAATTTTATATAGTGAATAGTTCAATCGAAGGCATAAATAAGATAAAACGTTTCTTAAAAATCTTTAATTCAAAATGCTTCACTTTTTTTCTAAAAAAGATTGTTTTATTTCATTTGTGTATTTTATATTATGTTTTCCAACTACTTACTAATTTGTTTGCTTTCCCTTCCTTGCAGGTTGTCATGTTCTTCGGTCTGACGGTGGCCTCCTACTTCCTGTCCTTCATGGTGTCGATGTCCTTTGAGGCGCCCGTCGTCACAATGCTGAAGATCTTGTCCCCTAGTCGAAAGAAACGCCTCGCCTAAGATCGGTGACCCAGCTCCGCCCATTTTCCGATTATTTATACCCCCCACATTGTCATGTTATCTATTCCTTGTCTACCAAGCAATGCCCAAATATTTATAGCATCGACTCATCTGCACACACGACTCCCTTCGATCGTCTTTCTATATATTTCTTTTCACTCTCTTCACCACATTTTCCACTCACATGTGTTCCAGTTCGACAAAATATAAAAAAAAGGCGAGAAAAACGAGGAAAAACGACACGACGTGCAACATGCAACGTGCAAATCAATTCAAACTATTTTTTGTCATCTTTTTTTGTTTCATAATGTGTACATTTTAGTCCTTTAATTTATTCCAAAGGTTTGGAAATTATGCGCGTGACGAAGAGCAAAAGTTATAAATAGTACTTAATAGCTATAATTATATGAAACTCTAGTACCTAATTTTATGAAAATCATGTTGTATATACTATATGCTATATATTGTTATATATAAACCTTTAAATAAAAACTGCTACCAAATACAAAACTCGTAAGTTTTCAAATCGAAACTATTTATACATAAATGCAGCTAAAACGCAGCTCAGGTATTTGGTTTATTACATATTCAAATTATCGGACATTCGTGCACACTTAAAACCTAAAAACAATACTTTTCTTTTTTACACATGTACATGACTCAAGTTACGCTTCTCATAGAACAAATAATTCCTTCTCCTTAGTTTGTTTCGTCTTCTGATTTGTGTCCAATAAAAATCCATAGCGTCGGTAGCCCCCGTTGCAGTCGTGAGAATGGAAATGTACGATGTTGCAAAAGGTCTTTGGGCATAGGGGGCACTTGTGTGGCTCTCCTGGGAACGATTTCAAGTGCCGCATTACAGTGGATCTCCTTGTGAAGGACCAGGAGCAGCGTGGACAGTTGTATCGCTCCCCAGTGTGAATCTTATTGTGCGTTTTGAGCCCCGAGCGCGTTGTGAAAGTCTTCAAGCAGATCGAACACTTGATGGGTGGACTTGATGGGTGCCGCCGTTTCGGCATAGTTTTTTTGCTACCTCCATTATCTTTAGCTACCTCCGTCTCTGGCTTGTTAATGGTATCATTGTAGAGATACACTGGATTTATAATACTATCCTTTGCTGGGATACTGGATTGAACTAAGTTCTGGTTTAATTTGTGGCAGTCTTTGGTCTCCATAACGATTTCTTTAAGTGGCTTGGGGTTAACTTGACATGGAAACGAGTCATCGGGAGGATCCTCTATGTCTTGAAACTGTTCTTGACGAGGAGGTTGGTCCTTAGGGAGATCTTCCTTATCTTGCAAATTCATTTCTACCAATGGTTCATCTCTTGAAGACTCGCATATTTCGTCGACTTCTTCCTTGATTTTTTTGCCCTCCGGTGTATGGTAAAACAGTTTACTACTATTCTCAGTTATTTGGTATGCATTTTCGGCATCCTTCAGGCAGGATTGGCAAATGGTGTTCGGAAGGAAGTCATCTATCTTAACTTGAAAACCACTCCACTCAGAAATCATTTTCGCTATGGAAATCCCTGAACTCTGTGACAGATTGAAAATGTTCACCATGTTTTCACAGTGATTTAAACAAACACGACAAGTAGACGAGTCCATGCTCTGAAATTACACAATTCTTGTAAAGAGTTTTCGAATAAATCAGTTTTGGTTTCTTACTCTCGCATGTTGAAAGAAGAACTTGAAAGTTGTTTGTAAACAGCGTTAAGAATTTGCAATCGCTCCGGAGTTATCGATTGCGAACACGGCAAGTCTTCGATATTAGGGACATGATTTTTTTTGTAAATGATTTTTTTTTGTAAATTTTCCTGTTAGAATATTTGTTTGAACAAAGAAATGGTTACCAAGGACAGTTATTTTGAACCTTTTCTGTGCGCTATTAAAATATTTTCAGTGCGAGCGGAGCGAGTATAAAAAACCGATTTATCTCATAGTTACGGTAGTTTTGGTCGTGAGTGATATCGATAGTGCCGTCACTATTTTGCCGGCTTAGAAAATTCGTACAATCCAATTTCGGATTGGATCCACTGCCCACCAACCACTAACCACCGACCACCGCCCACCATCGGCAAACCGCCATTCGCCGCAATCAAATAACCCGGAGCGATGGCTCTGCCCTCGATCTCGACGGTGCTGGGCGTGGCCTTCCTGGCGTACATCGGCCACTCCATCTACCAAATGTCGCAGCTCTTCACGGTGCTGCAGTGCAGCGGAGTACCTTGCTACACGTCCTTCTTGGCTGACCGGCCACGTCTTCAGCTGGCGGTGTTTTCCTCCCTGAACCGCAATCCCATTGCATCCGAGGTGCGGGATCTGTACAAAGCCAAAAAGTTCGACTACGATCAGAATTTCGAGCATGATTTTGAAGTGGATGTGCCGCTGAAGACACGGCGCAACGGCTCCCTCTACTGCCATGTGGTCCTGGCCTTGGAGGGTGAGCCCTTGGAATGGCGCAGCCTGCGACGCGATGGACCCACCGTTGTCCACACGCTGAGTCTCACCGATTACATGGTGCCGCGGGCGGAGGCCTTCAATCTCCTCGGGGAATCCGATAAGGGAGCAGCTGTCCAGGAGAAGACCAAAAAGGCTCCGTCCTCTGGACGTCCCAGCACGCACATCAGGTCGAACGTCTATGTAACGCTGCTCACCGATTTGTTTTCGGTCTCCCAAGCGGACGTCCCGCCGGAATTCGCGCCACTGATACGTGTCAATCGCATGCAACAGATCCTGCCCATCCTACAGACGGACACGTTTAACACGCGGCTAAAAGATCTAGTGCCCGTCACCCGGAATACCACCGAGTTCACCTTTAAGTTCCACTACAAACCCGTTGGCGTGGGCAAGCTTCGGCTGATGCTGCTCATGGAGCACGCCACCCAAGCACTGCTCACCATTGGATTCGCCACCAAGGACATCGACGAGGTCAAAGGCATCTTCTCGGACACCAATGTGTATTTGCTGTGCGGCACCATTTTCGTGTCCAGCATTCATGTGAGTAATGATAAAAGAATCTTCGGTGAAAGTAATTTTTCAAGTTCTTTGAAATTAGCTTTCTCTACTCTACACCTCTTTAATTGTTTTCATATTTAGAATCGTAGGGAAATATAAGACTAATTAAATTTGTTTGCTTCTTTTCATTTAAACGGCAATTGGATTTATAAATTACCTTTTACAAAATGTTATCAAGTCCACAAGTAACTTTTTCTTTATGTTCGAAAAACAAGAAATGGAAGATTAGTGTGTAAATCAAAGGACCTTTATAGATTATTTAATTAGATGTGCACCCCAAATGGTAGACCAATTTCAATTAACACTTATTCAATTTTCCCGCAGATGCTCTTCGACTTCCTGAGCTTCAAGAACGACGTGGCCTTTTGGCGCAAGAAGCGATCTTATGAGGGTCTCTCGACCCGCACCACCATGTGGCGAGCGTTCTCGCAGATCATTATTTTTCTGTATCTGCTGGACGAGAATACCTCGTATTTGGTGCTCGTGCCCGTTGGCCTGGGTACACTCATCGAGCTGTGGAAGTGCAAGAAGATCCTGCGCCTGGAGCTAAGTTTCAGCGGCCTGGTTCGTCGCAAGCTGGAGCAGGTGGACCGGCGGAATGGCAAGCAGCCGGAAGGGCAGCTGGCGGAGGAGGAGCAGACGGACCAGTTCGACAGACAGGGCATGCGGTATCTGAGCTACCTGCTGTATCCACTTTGCTTCGGCGGAGCGGTTTACTCGCTGCTCTATCAGCCGCATCGATCCTGGTACTCCTGGACACTCAACTCGCTGGTGAATGGGGTCTACGCCTTTGGGTTCCTCTTCATGCTGCCGCAACTGTTCGTTAACTACAAACTGAAGTCCGTGGCCGCCTTGCCGTGGCGCGCATTCATGTACAAGGCATTCAACACGTTCATCGATGACTTCTTTGCCTTCATCATCACCATGCCCACGGCTCATCGAGTTGCCTGTTTGCGCGACGACATTGTGTTCATCATTTACCTGTACCAGCGCTGGCTCTACCCGGTGGACAAGAGTCGCCTGGACACGGGCGTGGCCATCGGCGAGAACCCGGACTCCGCGGATGCCTCATCCACGGCGGCCAATCGCAAGAAGCGCAACTGATCCTATAACACGAAGAGAAGCAAAGATTGCACATTCCGTCTATAGCTTCAGGTCTAGCCTAAGCTGTAGTCCATTCGCATTTCAATGTAATCCAAGTCCGTCTTTAGTTTAGTAGTGTGTGAATCCTGTGTTGTAGCCTCAGCTGTTTTAAACCTGCGTTTAACTTGTGTTAATGCTAACTATAAAAATTGTAGTAGTGATCCAAACCGATAATGGCTATTAAACAAAACCACATGAATTTTATAAACATTTAAATTAGCTAAAAGCAACTGAAGGTTGCAAACTAACGAATCAGTTTTTAAAGAATAAACTAGAAAATAACGTTTAGCGACTAAGTGCTGGTCAATTTCCCTCATATCGATGAGCAACGAAAAAGCCAAAAGGTACACTAAACAGTAAAATATAACCCAACGTAGATCAAAAGCTGTTTTAGAAACAATCAGTTAACAGGAAATCAGAGATACAGCCAAAAAATGATCCTAATGGAGCATTTCTATAAACAAGGCAGAATGCATTTAATAAAACATGAAAAGCACCCAAAACCTAAAGGCTGCATAAGTATAGAATCAAATAAAAAACATATTTTAAAAATGAGATTTGTCGTATTCGTGGAAAGAAAAATATCAACTGCATGGAGTTTTTAAAGATTGTTCTTTATATTTGTATGCCATTTTATTAGCTTACTGTTAAGTCCAATATTTGTGCTGGATGTGTGTGTGTGTGTGTTTTGGAGCAGTTGGATGCGGGATCTCGATTATGGAAAGGATTGGAGTTCAGCTTGTCGAAAAAAAGGGATGTATCTTAAGCTTAAACTAAACTGGCGAAGGAAAAAGAGTTTGCCGTGCGCTCGGTTTTCGGATGCTGGTTGGCGATGGTTCCAAGCTGCGTTTGGCTGCTGAAGGAGATCGGCGAATCGTTCGCCTAGCCGTTGCGTATGCCCAGCGCCTGCTCCAGTTCGGCCCGCTTCTGGTTGACCTTGGTGAAGAAGTAGCGCGAGACGGCCTCGTGCGTCCATGGCTGGTAGTAGAACTCGGCCCGGCGCTCCTCCTCCGGATTGCCCACCACATCGGTCATCAACTGTAAAGGAAGAGAGTGCTCAGAATTTATATATTTATAGAAAGCGAACGTGAGACGCACCTTTAAGTCCCTCGTCTGACTTATTATCCAGCGATGGATAAACATCTGCGGATCCTTGGCGAAGCTCAGGAAGAACTCCCTGTTTGTCTTCATCTGGTTGATGGTGTCCACCGTCTCGTGGATTTTGGTGTCCAGCCCCTGGATCTCCTGCTGGCTGGCGGTGCTCATCAAGAAGTTGTTCATCTGGTTTTTGAGCGTGTCGTCCACCTCCACATCGATGTCATAGCAGGCCGTCTGCTTGTTCTCCGCACCGCTCTCAATGAAGTGATTGATCACAATCGGATCGGGCGGATGGAGCAGCGGATTGAGGCGTTGCGGTATCTCGGCGAACTTCATTCGCTGGCAGCTGAATATCTGCTCCAGATACTTGTCGCAATTGATGTACTCCCGCTCGTGGGCATCCTGCAGCTTGTGCGTCTTGATGTACTGCCACAGGGCGGAGATGATTACCGGCCTGGTCTGCGTGTGGACGCCGAGCAGCCTGGCGAGTCGCGGGTCGAGCTTGAACTGCAGCGGCTGGTAGTCGAGCAGCAGGAGGATGGTGCAGCGCACATTGCGATCGCCCGGCCGCTTCACCTGGAACCCGTCCGTCTCCTGGGTTGTGTGAGTGCGATGCCACTCGACCAGATGGTTGTCCGGTCCGTACAGCTCCTTGTCCAGTTCGATGACCAGCGATTTGAAGAATGACGAGAACTTGCGCTTGATCTTTGTATTGGGATCGCCCTTGCCATCCTCCAGCAGACGCCCTTCCACGCGTAATTCCCAGGACGCTACGGCGCCCTCTTCGCCGTCGTTTGTGGGCTCCTTGCCGGGATAGAATGTGTTCGAAATGAAGATGCGCAGCTTGCGCTTCTGCTTCATGGGTCGCTTGAGAGCCTCCTGGATGTCTAGGCGCTTTCGCATGATAGTCGCGTCCAGCTTCCGTTCGAACGTCAACAAATCCATATACGCCTGCGATTCCGGCACCAGATCGCGCACCTTCTGCGGCAGTATCTTGTCCGCCAACTTCTTCTTCTTTTTGGCCGTGACGAAATCACTTTTGCCACCACCTCCGCCGCCCAAGCTTCGGGATTCATTGGATCGCTTGCTTCCACCGCCAGATCCACCACCTCCACCGGCAGCTCCGGTGCCGCGCAGGCTGTTCTGGAAGGCCGGCTGTTGGGCGGCGCGTTGGAGCAGCGATGACCCCGGAACGCCGGGCACTCCTTGAACTCCTGGCACTCCAGCCACGTTCGCCGTGCCCGGAACCGGTTGCGCCGTGTTCGGATGCAGGGGAAATCCGCGCGGCTGTCGGGGATGAGATCAAAGAGTGAATACTGGAGCGAGGGGGGAATGGGAAAAGCCCGGGGAAAACTCACCGGAAAATTAGCGCCAGGCGGCGGATAGGGACGCATGCCGGGCGCCGACGGCGGTGGCTGATAGCGCGACTGCACCGGCGCTTGGCCAGGTGCAAAGCGTTGCGACATCTTCACTTGCTTCTCTGCTGTGCTCCTCTTTTTCCGGCCGTAAACACTCGCTTTTCACGGTCGAGGAAAATTTCTCGGTTTTTGTTACAACAACGCGTCACACACACAATTTCGCCTGTAAAATGGCGTCAAAGCAGGGCTGCATTAACTATAGATGGGAGCGATAGTTTTTGCAATTTCTGCCAGGGATGCATCGTTAGAATCGTATATGTTTGTTTATTATTTTTATTTGTTATATTTTTTAGATGCTTGTTAATAGCCAATGCAATTCTTCACTACAAGACTCATTAAGTTTAACAACATTACTAAGGTTTTATTTACACCTACACCCTATTTTCGTTGAATCAAAACCCTTAATATAAAAAATAATCGATTGTTACTCAGCTCTGCGAAATAAACCAACAGAGTGACCAGACCAATTTATAGCAGGAATTCGTATTCCCCTGGTAGCAGTCACACAGGTCAAAACACAATTGTCATTCAAAAACTTTTTTAATTACTCCGAAAATAAAGCCAAGAAATGGATGATAGTTGGTGGGCGACCAATCTTAAGGCTTTGAAATCGAAAGCCAAGCGCCTTGAGGCGCTGACAAGGATGAACACGGCGGTCAGCAAGCATTCGGCCCTTCCGCGCCAAATAATCAGACGTCTGATGGCCACATCCGAACTGTACGAATGTGCCACGGTGGATGACACCAAGGATCCTTCCGTAGATGTGGCCGTGGAGTTGCTGGGCCACTGCGTGCACCAACTCCCGGTGGACACCGCTGACGACCAACTGCCCGGTCTTCTGGGTCGCAGCCTGTCCCATCCAAATCCCGCCCTGCGTTTCGTGGTGCTAAACAGTTTGCTGAAGGAACTGCGTCGCCAGCTTAATGCCGGGCAGCTGCACACGCTGCCAGACAACGAGCTGGTCCTTCTCATCCTGGACGAATTGAAGCAACCAGAAACGGAGGGCAGCTCCATCGCCATCGCTATTCTGTCCATTGTGCTCGGCCAGCGTGTCAACGAAGCTGTCGTTCAGGCAAAGCTAGTGCAACTGCTGCAGCAGAACGAAGTCGTGCGCTGTCGCGCCTACGAACTGGGCGTGTCCCTGGCCAAGAGCAGTGCCTCCGTCCTCAGCGCCGTTGAGTTTATTCTGGATGCAGCGCTCAGCGAGCTGGATAACGATGATGTCCTGCTGCAGGCCAGCGTGATGGAGGTCCTGGTGCCGTTGGCCGAACAGAATCATGGCCTCTCCTATATGGAGAGGCGTCGCGTCTTTGATATCATAAGTACGCGTGTGCAGCGCATTGAAGAGAATCCGTTGGACGCACTACTTATTCCCAGCATCATGAAGTTTTTCGGCAAGATTGCTGCTGTGCAGCCGCAGAAGATCATCACCGGCTATCCACACATGCTGGCCTGCCTGTTCCAGCAGCTGCAGTCGGAGGACGAAAATATTCTGCCCACAGCCATGGACACGTTGGCCAATTTGGCTAGCACGCCGCAGGGAAAGGTGCTGCTGCACCTGCATTTTAGCACAGCCATGCTGGAGACATTCAAGAAGTACGGCTCGTACACCAAAAAGCTATCGGCGGCCCTTAAGGAGCGGCTGCTCAACTCGTTGGATGTAATTTACAGTGTGGAGATAAAGCCCACAAAAGAGATTGAGTAACTTGCACCCCTTATTTAACGTTTTCTCTTGCTAATGTTTCTCGTTTCTTATCAGTGGCATCTTAAAATCCTGGTTCGAAAGCTTTACTGGAGGAGCACAGGTCAATATCATCATGGATCTGATCAACACGCCATTTCCTGACCTCCAATTGGCCGCATTGGCCCTGCTAAAGACCATGTGCAGGCTGTACAGCTGGGCCATTGTGGCTCTGAAAAACACCGGCGGAGCCATTGAGTTTCTGCTCTCGCGGCAGAAGGATCTGCACAGGGAGGTCAAGTTCCTCAAGTGGGAGATCCTGGACATGCTGGCCGTCAGCGCTGAGTTCACGCCCACCGAAACCGTGCGCTTCACGGCGTATGTTAACGAGGGACCCTTCCACATCCAGGCGGACCTTAATATCGCCACCGAACCGCAGGGCAACGCCTAGATGCCCCTCAGATTTCAAATTGAATGTACAGCGATGGGTTCAACTAACATCTGAATATGTATTTATAGAATTACCATAAGATTTAACTAGTAGATCACATCTAACAATGCCCCATGGGCCAGGTCAGTTGATGGGGATGCAACAAATAGTCAGAAAATTCGTTGGACAATTGTAATAAGTTTTCCTTAAAATCGTCGGGTAAAATATATCAAATTTTAAATTATATCAACTTAAATGAAGAAAATTAAATGTCTTCTCCTTGAGTTCGAATTCCAACTATTTTTGTATATAAACTAATATTTCGTTTTACCTTCGAGAGGGAATAATAAAGGAAATAAATAAAATAGTGTTAAGTCTGTATGGAACCAAAAGATTAAGGGATCAAAATAATCGAATGTGTCCAATGGTTTAGCCACCCGCCCTCTTGCCCCATTTCTATGTAAGTCTGTTGATCTCGTGCTGCTCGTTCCTGGCCAGTTTCGCTCCTTACAGATAGCTCATCTGCCGGTTCGACTGACGCTTTCGCCCCGATCCTCCTCCGCCCGTGCCGCCACCCAAGTGGGCCAGGCTGACGCTTAGTCAGGACTCGTAGGCCGTCTGGGTCTGGGATCGGGTCTCGTTGTTCACCAGCGAGCAGCTGGGCAGCGTGTGGCAGTAGCGGCGCAGCTGCTGCTTGAAGGCCGCCGTCGTCAGCGTGTAGAGCACCGGATTGAGGGCCGAGTTCACCGGGAGCACCAGCACCGCCAGCCAGGCGTAAAGATCGGGTGAGATTTCGCAGCCTAAGTGGGGTGCAATTAATTACTAATATTGTCTAGTCTAGTTTGCATAATTCTTACCTGAAAGAGCTGCCACTTTGACCACAATTATGGGCAGCCAGCAGGCGCAATCGGTGGTCACAATAATGGCGAAGCTGTATAAATATAAAAATGTAAATATCATATTTAAATATTAGTAAAATATTCCTTAAGTATTAAAGTATTTACCCTTGAACAAGGATAGGTACTTAAATTAACTGCACAGGTTTTATTAAATATTATATGTACATTGTTTTAATATTAAAAGGGGAAAACTTGATTGTAAAGTGAATTCATTTTTAAATTCTTTAAGGGGTATGACAATCGTATTATCTGTTAAGTAATGTATTTAATTTTTTTCTCATATTTAAGAGGGAATTTTTACTACAACTCGCTTAAGCTTACCGAGTGGCTACCACATTTTCTCGACCGCTGTGAGTGCTCCGCATTCCGCCACCGGAATCTCGGATTGCCTGCAGCATTCTTATGTAGGAAAACAGGATGAAAACCAGTGACAACGTGTTGACGAAGATGAAAAGAAGTGCCGAGTACTCCCAGCCCTAAAAAATAATCATTTAATTTGTATAATGAGCTAATGGAATGATTCAAGTTATATAATCACCTTTGCATAGGGATCATGGATGTGCAGTGATAAGCAGACACCATTGTTGCCGTAAAAGTGGTTTCCAAAGTAAGGATTAGCCAAAAGTGGAGCCGCAGCCAATCCGAAACTAATGCCCCACAAGAACAGCAGTCGAAAGACAATTCTATACAGAAAAACATTTTATTTAATGGATGAGTATATTATTGTTATTACAAAACGAAATCAAATACAAACTCAAAAGCAAAGTTTGTAAGGTAAACAGAATGCTGTGGGTTGATATTTGAGTGGCATACAAATCAACAATGCAGCTCTCGAGGATAACGAAAAACTAATTAAAATAATGGGTAAAACAATAAATTTACTTGCCAACCCCCTAATTGTGCTGTAATATGATTTAACCACCCACCTCCTCCGAATCCATATCGTTCCGTCACATCTTCAAAGTTTTTGTATACCCCCACAGCACTCACCGAACTTTCTCCGTATCCCGGGGCTTGAGGGGCCTCGTCACAGACATCAGACGATCCCAGGTGACCAATGTGAGCAGCAGCGTGGACGACTGGCAACTGAAGGTGCTGAGGAAGCCTACGCGGCGGATACACAATTCACATTAGCATCCCATTAAGGAGCAGACAGAAGTTGCTTGTTTGGATAGTTGGTTGCTGGGTTGGGTGTTCGGTTTGGGGGTTACGCACCTGCAAAGGCACAGATTCCGCTGTGGCGCCACGCCTCCTCGTACTTGATGTACTCGCCGCGGAAACTAATGTCCGCGCAGGCAATCAGCGTCAGGTAAATGCCCATCAGGAAGTCGCTGGCGGCGAGGTGGCGCAGGTAGAGCGAGTGCTCCACGTTGCTCCGCGACTTGTAGAAGTAGCGGCCCAGCAGGACCAGCAGGTTGCCCACCACGGCAATCGAGGCCATCACCCAGACACTGGCCAAAAGGGGAAGGAAGTGCACACGGAGAATATTAGACACGGTCATTTGGGTTGCTTTCATTATCAGATTGGACATGGTGGCGATTTCGTAAATATCATCATTATTATTATTAAAATTCGAAAAACGTAATGCTTAATAAATTACTATGTATAGTACTACTTCGAAAGGACATCACCCAATAAACACCCAAATGGGAAAAATATGTACAGCAAGAAAAATCTAGCAACTACCAACATCCTCATTTTACCGTCTGGTAATGATTAATATAATATAATATATAATTAATATAATATATATAAAATATATGTTTTATTAACTATTTTAAATTCTGTTTTATAAGTACAAACATTATTATTATTATTATTTTTCATGATGTGGAGCTTACAAATTTATTCTGATCATTTTGTACCTCTCTATATTATTTCTAAAAATTAAAAAAAAATTGTATGGCATTTTAAAAAATCCTCTCTTTGATCAGTAAACCTTTTCCAATTTTAGTGTCATGTGTGTTTGACCTGTGAGCAGCCCCATTTAATGTCGAGTCATTGCCTATTTTTGCGTGTGCGTGGAAAAATAAAGAGAATAGCTGGTGACCCTGACTTTGGACAATAGTCGTTCTGCCGCTAGCCATAAATTCGGGCAATTAAAGGAAATTTAAGTCCTCCCCGCGGGGCCGATACTTTTCCCCGCCAGTGTTTCTGCTACTGCGTTGCTGTACTTCTGCGTTCGACCTCTGCGTTTGTGGCTCCGCACAATTGGCAATTGGCCTGGCCGGGTGTCTCATTACTGCAGTTCTGCCAAACGGGGAGGTGTGGCCACAAGGATGCCAAGGATGCCCGCCTCTGAGTGGAGCTACGAGACTTGGGCACAAAGCACAAGGTTAAAGGCACAAAGGACGAGGCGGCATTCGACATTCACAGGAGCAGAAAGCCCGATTCAGTGACAATTATGGCCACTAGCAATGATGCTGATTCCCTGAGGTGGAGAGACCTGTAATTTATGTTAGTGCCAAGTGCCCCCCCCACCACATACCGCTCCCCATTCATTGGCACCACTCGGGGTTTGATGATGATTGACCATCATCAGACTTGACCTAACGCCTAATGCCAACCTGGGGTAGCCGCCAATTTCACTAAATGCATATTAAATTAAAAGGAGTTGCAGCCTCTTCTTCGGCCGCTGCCAAAGGTCATCCTCTATAATACGGTTGAAGAAATTGCGGGGAAAAACAAGAGGCGGAAAAAGGCAAAGGTCTGGCGCCATTGGGAATAAACCTTAGCTGTAATCATTTCGAAGCTTGTAAAATTCCTAAAAGGCCGAGAATAATCTCTGTTGTTTTTTATTGAGTGGGGCAGACAAAAAACCCCACAGTTAAATTTTGTATGTTGCCTAAATTTAAAAGAAATGTATCGTATAATATACAACAATAAAAGCCTTGGCTTAAAGCGACTAATATTCTCCAAAGAACACTTTAATTTAAGGGAAATCATGAAACACGATTTTTCTTTGTCCTGGGCTAAATAAATCGAGGTCACCCAAGCAAATGAGTCCAAATTATAATAAATATTTAAACTGACTAACAAAAGGCTTTAAGGAGTACAAAGAACGTGAAAAATATTGTGTTATTTTCCCTTCTTCTAATGCTAAACAAATCGGGGTCATCTAATCAAACGAACCGAAGGATACAACAGGCTTTCCCCGCCTGCAGCAACATCGCATTAATATTGCAAATTTCTCTCAGTTATCCCTTCTGCACTACAGCCACTTTCTCCCATTTTGGACGGGAGTGCAGCTGTTAACCCAGGCTGGGAATCCAGGTGGCTAATAAAAGCATAGACCGGGCTGAGAGCAACGGAATGAAACTGGAGCCAGGAAAGCCGGAAAAGCGGAAAAGCGGCAGCCACGCCAACGAGTTGAAAACCTAAAGTATTTAATTTTTATGAAAACGTCAACTTAGAATAATGAAATAATGTACTAAGCACAAAAGTAAATTCTCGCTGGCACCGGCATCCTTGTGGCACCATATCCTTGGATCCCAGCATCCTTCCCTGTTTGTATGTCTGTATGTGTGTGTTTGCACATGTTGGTGTTTGTTTTTTTTTTCGAAATGAAGATGTGGATGTGAGAGGAAGATGAGGACGTAAGTGTGGGCGGGTTGCAGATGAAGATGTGGATGTGGGATGAAGTCGAAGACGACGGCATGCAGAGTGTGTGTAAAATGTTGTAGATGGCAAACAAACAGACCGACATGGAAGGAACGTAATTTTCATTTTCAACAGGAACACATCCTAGACGACGACGACGACGACGACGATGAGGCGATGGCAGGCAGCCAGATAATCACTCAGCAGACCTGATGACAAGTGACTGCCGGTTGCCAGCTTCCAGTTTTCAGTTTCCCAGTTTCCCAGTTGTTGATGTGTCTACTTATTTGTCTTGCCAAGTAGCTACTTGGCGAAAATACCAAATACCGGTGGGATGTTTAATGTTTAGACAGCAGGTCTAGCCACTTCAAAAGGCCCGATTTTGGGGTGTTGGCCCATTAGCGCCGGAATATTGAACAGCGGGTGATTGGCGCCCAACGTGGAGCCACGTGGTTATGGAGTTCAACGCAAATTAAATGATTGTCGCATCATAATTGATCACCCCTAACTCTTCGTGACCCCAGCTGGCTCGCATATTCATTTTTTTCTCAAGATCCATGATGAAGTGCAACATTAAATGATTTATTACTTAAAAAGAAATATGTAGTATGTTAACCGTTAGTTACCGTTAGTTACCGTTAGTTACCGTTAGTTACAAAAGCAAACATTTGCCGCCCAACGTGGGACTTAAGGATACATGAGTTAATCACCTTTACGCCTTGAATAAATGCTAATTACACACTGACACCAGTAGGATTTTAGGAATGCAAACTAAGAAATGACTTGTGGGAGTACCTATGCGTCTTGGAATTTTCCATTCAACTGATTTTGCATATAAGCTCGTATTTGCGAAATTATAGAGCACTCCGGTGCTCAGTAATTTCGCTTTTAGGCAGAACAATGCAGTGCTCGCACTCTAATTGCAAGCAAGCTCGGTTGCACTTGCAATTGCGGACTTCAAGGGCCATAATGACAATGATGACAATGATTTAATTGCAGTCTAATGAATGCGATTTACACACGGACCGCAGTGCGAACGGAAGCCAGTGCGGTTGCACCAAACTCCCGCCCACAAGTTAACTGGTTTGGTTTTGGCTTGGCTTGCCGGCTTCTTTGCCAGGGCTCTTAGCTTGATTAAATCGAAATCATCTTGTGAACGGGACTTAGCTCACTCACCTGCCTCGCAGTATCTGATTGTCCAGGAGGTGCAGCTTGCTGCTGATGCCATCGCCATGGGGATCACAGACCCTCACATTTATGGCGGCGCTACACAAATGGAACCACGAAAAGTAACTGCAAACGACAGATAAAGATGGTTCTTTCAGGTGCCATACTCATTACGATTGAATGGTTGCTGCCTTTGGCTGGCGGCTTACTCACATGTAATCCAGGCTGCTCAGGTTCCGCAGAACCCGCGGATCCAGGGTCTGAAAGCGATTGCCCGTTAGCAGCAGCGAGCTGAGGTTCTCCAAACAGGCGAACGCGTCCAGCTCGAATCCCTCGATGCGGTTTTCGTTCAAGTGCCTGCACAGGGAACAAAAACGGGTAAGTGAATGAGAAACAAGGAATATATAATTCAAAGTACAAGGTAAACGTAAGAAGTATTAACTTCTAAAGTTAATAATATAAAAAATGTCTTATGTATCATATAATCCTAGTTATTTATCTTAGATGTAGAATTATCATTATTGATATTATAAAAATATTCATTAGTTTTGCATTTTATTTTGGGTTGATAATATTACCTATCTAGTAACTATCTTAAACATAAAATATTTTAAGTAAAAGCTTATCCAATCTTATGTGTGAGTTCAACATTTGACTAATTATTATTTAGCTCGTACATAATTAATTCATTTTTTCCCACTTTTTTTTTGTGTAAGTGAAATTTGAGAAAAAGGCAAGGCGTTTTGGCTGAAATGGTTAACACATTGGAGCAACGCGGCTTTATGGGCCAGGGCATAAAAGCCAAGCATTGTTTCGCTGGATTTTTTTTTTTTTTTGCTTGCTTTTTTTGCCCCTATGCTTATTTGCATTCGAGATTGGTCGATTGGTCGGCTGGTGAGGGGAAAAAAGGAGCTTAGGTCCTGGCACCGGGCTCAAAGTTTCATCATTAAAGTTGGGGCAGCGATGCCGTGGCACGTATCCGGTATTTGTCCGTCTTTTCCCCAGATATTCCTTGTAGGAAATCTCTTTTGATTTTTGCCCTGCATCAAATCATTCCTCAGGAAAAGTCGAAGCCTCCTCAATATGCATTACATGAAAGCGGCGGAATGTTTTTGTGGGGGTCTAAAAACTAGTATTAGTTTTTCGCAAATGAAAAACTGTCAGCTTTTGGCTTTGCATTCCACTCGGCTTAAGGAAAATCCGCCCCTTCCACTTGGCATTATTGATAAATTAAATTCCTCAACCCGGGCGAAACTTAAACGGCAATAAATCCAAATGACACTTTCTGCCGCAGTCTCCCTTTTCTCCATTCCCCAATCCCCTTTCCCCCTGACCCCCACTATCAATATACTCCACTCCGGATCAGAAACCAGAAATCAGAAGACCCGAAGTCCTCTGGTCACGGGTTTTGTGGAAGATGTGGAAGATGGAAGCCGAGCAGAAGGAAAAATCCATCAGAGGTCACAGGAGTGACACTTGTTTGTTCGATGCCCTGGAGTTATGACTCCCCAAGGGTATGCTCGAATTCAGAGAGTGTTTGAGATACTTAAGATACCTGAAGATTACAATTTTTAAATGAATGAAGGTGGTAAGAAGATTTTAATAGGAATTAATAACATGAATATGTAAAAAAGTGTTTGAAAATAGAGGAACTTAAATACTTATTTTAATATGATAAGGAAATGATATGATGGTAAGAATTAATTAGTAACTAGATTCCACTAATAGGAATCTTAATAAAATTGCACAGAATATTTCATGGATCTTAAAATAAAGTTATAGATAATAAAGAGAATTTCTTATGACATATGAATAATTTAAAACTTGCTCAAGGAGTTGAATAATTTGTAAATTTTCTTTCAATTTTATTTTAACTAAATTCCATAAATAATAATCCTATGTTTTATAGGTAATTTAAGATTTATTCTCTTAACTTTAAACAACTTACAATCCTTGTAGATTGCTCAGATTGCAGAAGGTTTCATCTCGTATGTGGGATAATCGATTGCCAGCCAGAAATCTGCAATCGGCAAACAGATTGATATATTTATAGGTAGTCGCATAGAGGGGAGTAGCTCATCCATTCCCAGTTTTCCTGCTTTTCTTCCCACTTTCACCGCTTTTTCCCCGCTTTTCTACTTACAAGTATTTGAGGCGTGGAAAGGGAAATGTGTTGGCGGCAATGTCCTCGATCTGATTGTGAGCCAAGGACAAAGTGAGCAGTTTTAGCAGAGTTCTCGGAAATGTATTCGCGTTCAGTTGCTTCAAGTGATTCTCGTTAAGATAGCTTCAGAAAACAGTAAACTATTATATCTACAGCTAGAAATAAATATATTTTTAAAGGTGTTACTTACAGCATTTCCAAGTTGGCCAGCTTTTCAAACACCTCAGCTTCAAAGTTTTCAATTCGATTATCGCGCAGGTCACTTGAAATCAAATATTTATAATCCCATTAGGGAGTGTGTAATTTTTTCCTGGATTTTGTATAGGTACTTACAGCTCTTGCAGATTTTGCAGATTAAGGAAATCGGTTCGTTTCAGAGTTTGCAGGCGGTTACGTGCCAAAATTCTGACCCCAGTCGAAAAAAAGCACATGAAACAGATAAAAAATCACATTTTAATGCCGAAAAAGTTGGCAACAAAAGCCCCTTGCAATTGCATCCAGGCAGTGAAAAGTCGGCGCATATATCTTGATTTTAATTAGCCATTAAGCGCAAGTAACAAACGCCCCAAAAAGGGGCAGCTCCCCCACAATGGGACACCTTTCATTCCTTGCCTGTTCCCCTTGCCAAATTGTTCAGTTCTTCTGTCCGTTATTTACTATATAGTATTTACTACTGTCAACCGGACAGAGCCAACTTTCAGGGCAACGCCAAGTGCAGCTGCTCCTCCGGATTTCGGTGGCGCCGAAGTACGGATCTCCTCCGCATCCGCAATCCGGAGCTCTCCTCCATCCGCCGCAAATGTGTAACTGAGTTGTTTATGTGTTTTCGTGCACCGGCAGTTTTGTCTATTTGGCAGGGCAATTCAAACGGGTATGATTCATTTCAAGTGGATTTTGTGTCAGGGGAAGTCCCTTTTTAACCCTTTACATGGCAATAACTCCGATTTTCTTGATTTTTTTTTTTGTTTGGTAGATAAGTGAAAACAAAAAATACACTTCTTTTTAGTTTTTTAATTTTTTTTGGTTTTACCTTATTTTTTTTACAAAAGGGGTGTGATGCATTTCTGCATCAAAAGGTCTTAAGGGGAAAATTTTTTTAATATGTGTTTTAGAAAGATAATAACATTCATTCAATATTAAAATATAGTAATTTATATTTTAAATATGTCAATTTAAATTAAATTTTTTAAAGCAATTATTTTTTTTTTTAAACATAAAAAAACTACACATTTTTCGCACTCCGTTTGGGAGAATCCAGTGAAGTTCGTACAATTTGCAGTATTTTTTTATGTGTTAAGCTACTTTGATGCATATCTGCAACAAAGCGAAATTGTTGATTTATTCGTATTATAATGCAAGAAACACAAAAACTCGACAAGATATAGCTAAATATAATATTTACTTGTTTAAAAATATAAATTAAATCAACTACACATTTTTTTTTGTTATTTATATTTGGATGAGAAACTGCACAACCAATTCAGATTTCCACATTTACCAAATTGGCGAGAAAAGTAATCAGCTGTTGAATATTAGACAGAATTCTGACTGACTAACACTTGTTATATAAAAAACGAAAGTTTCTGAACTGCATTAAAAAGATTTCAGACAGTTTTGCAATGCCCGTTGAAAAATAATTGAATTTGAACGGTATGATGCAGATATGCATCACCACCATGTAAAGGGTTAAAAACTTATAAGTGTACTTTACTAACATAAATAAATAAATTAAATATTCTTACAACAAGCATTAAACAGGATTGCCATGAATTAATTTTGAAGAATATTTTTGTATATGTACTAAAATTGTTATGATTTTGTAGAATTATTAAAAGGAATACTTTAAAATAATCTTTATAGGATGGCTGATATCAAGATATAACCTATCGAATTATAAGCATTAGCTATAAAAATATTAAATATTCTGAGTTTGTTTCTGCTGTTTTTGTAATTGTAAAAACTTTTTCATTGATTTGGCTTTTTCTATAGTATCCATTTATTTAAAAAATGTATATATTTATATATATTTTATTTTAAATATTACAAATTTAATTTATCTAGGAGATTTTTAAAAACTTTTTAGCTTTGGGCTTATATGAAAATAACAAAAGTGCAATAATGCGTATAACGCCAATTATAATGCCAATCCGTTTTGATCACAGCCGGCAGCGAACTTGACCTTGCTTTGGCCTTTACCGCTTGCCCTTTGCCAGCTGGCGTTGTTTTTGTTTTTGCTCTTGTGCTTCGTCTTTTTCGGGGGCGCTGGAGGTGGGAAAAAGGGGGCGTGGCGGTGGAGCCTCCGCTCGAGTCAATGCACAAAACAAGCTTAAAACTTTTTACCGTCTGTGCTAATATTTTTATGCTTCGAGGCGGCGTGGCAAAATGGGAGAGGAAAATAAAAGGAAAATCCGAGGCGGCCGTGGAAGGGGGGTGGGGGGTGGAAAAATGGGAAAAGCGCCACAACAATGAGACAAGAATGTGCGGTGCGACATTGTCAGTCGATTGGCCGAGAGGCTGGCTTTAACCCGGCCACAATGGGCCAACTTTATGGGCCAACAGAGCAGTTTGCCGGGCTGACAGCAGTGGTTTGCGATTAGCATCGGACAATGTGTGGGCTTTTCCGAGTTTTTCCCCAAATTTCATATGGATTCCGATATGATCGACCCTCTACGGTTATTGCCAATTACTGGATTTTTGTCATTTAGCACCTCGGGCTGTCCGAAAAATAATGGCTTTTAATCGCAAACATATCTGTACACATATCCTTGCGACCTTTTCAAAACTTTTCAATGCATTCGTGTTTGTGAAGTCTGCAAAAATTGTGCAGTGCTTAAATGTGGAAATTTAAGCCAAGCTACTGCTATTTTTGCCTAATTTGATTTATGCCTTATTTGCATTTTTCCATTGACAATCGTTTGTGGAATCGTATTTTCTATTTTATTATATCGGCTAAGCCAATGGATGAAAATAAATTACCGAGGCAGTAATGTTTATTTAATACATGGGTTATTCGGGAGTGGTTTTAATATTTATTGGGTTCAAATAAAAATAAATGTGATTTAGATTTATGTGCTTATAAAGCGCTTACAAACATTTGTGGCTTTAAATTTTAATTTCCCATTTCCCCATACAAATCTCAAATTATTTTTCCTGTTCAACTAAAAATAAATGATATTTAGATTTATTAAAAAGTGCTTATAAACATTTGTGGCATAGTTCCTGCTAAAATATACATTTTCCATTTCAGTGAAATAAAGATCTCAAACTATAATTAATTCAAATATTTTTTTTAACCCACAATTGTCCCATTTACAATTAGCTAATATTATATTAAGCGGAGCATCCGGAAATCGATCGTAAAGAAGGCGGCGTTAAAATTGAGCGGAAATTGCACGAATATCGCGTTAATGAATATCGAGTGAACAGCACTTACAGAATCCTCAATTGATTGCCCTCGGGGAAGAAGTGTTCCGGCAGATGCGGTAATTTATTATCGTCCATATAACTGGAAGGACATAACGAGCACAAAGTGGAGTGGGGAAATTATTAAAGAATCGGTTGCAGCGGAAGACGAGGCGAAATGCGGTGAAAAATGTGGGGTGGTGTGAAAAATAAATATTGTATAAACTTTAAAAAACAAAAAAAAGAAGAAAAAACAAGAAAGAAAACTGTTAAGTGCACATAAATAATGAGACTTAATTATGAGTTATTGTGGGGAGTGGGTCACGTTGCTGGGAAAGGATACTCAGAAAGGATGATGGTAAAGGTTACTTTGTGAGGATAGTTATAAAGGACACTTACAGGGTTCTCAGTGGGTTGTCCGCCAGGCGATCGAATGCATGCGAGGAAATCTCACGGATTGAGCAGAACTTCAGAACTCTGCAGCAAAAAACAAAAAACAGAAACAGGCGACACTCGAGTGAATAAAACGTAATAAATACGAGATTCAATTGTAAACTTTGCACAATGGGGGGCCGGCTAAAAACTTCCATAGCTAGCATAACTTTTCAAGACTTTGCCACGCCCCCTCATCCTCCTTTTCCCTCGAATGAGATATGGATAATAATGCGCTTTGTTCGCCTTGTGTCATTGTTTTTGGCCCCCAAAACTTCGCAGCTCATTTGGATGGGCAAATACGGGGCTAACAAGCGATGAGCTCCAAGTTGGACTTGCATCTCATCTTCATTAGGGAGCCGAGAACTCTCAGTTTATCCAATGAATTAATTTGTTATTTATTTTAAAATGTATACTTAAAAGATTTATATTTCCCAGCTCTTACAGGGATTTAATTGAATTACTTAAACACTAAAGATGTGTTTACTTTCTTATGTGTTCCATTGTGAATTTTGATTTAAATTCAATAAATTCTGTAGAAAGTGACTTGAAAAGTTATTCTTTATAAAAATGCAACATTGGTTAATTCAAAATGTTTACTAATTAAATTAAAGTCCCCAAGTTTTTAAGATTTTGAAGTTTCAAAGGTTAAAGAGTTTTCTCGAATGTGTTAAACACTTGAAAGGTTTATTCCTATTCGGAACCCGTTGTGAATTTATTGTTTTATTTAATAAATCCTTGCAAACTGAAGTGCTAAAACCATTAATGGCAATTCCCAGCATTTGTGGCTGGAAAATGTATTTGAAGTGGAGTCTGGTCTCCATTTACGTACCTAATGGCCCAATAAATTTGTACTTTTCCTCTGTTCTTGTTTTGCATCTAGTTTTTATGGCTAAATGCGGGATAAACCTGTGGACAGAAATGTCAAGCTATTTATAGAAGAGAAGTAATTGTCTCCTTGATTTGTTTTCACGATATTGGCCAAGTGAACAATAAAAAGCAAAGCTTCACCCACTTTTTCGTAGGAAAATGGCAATGTAAAAAAGTTCGTGCCTCTGGGCAATGTTAACATTGTTTTCGTTTTCGAGGCGTCGTTAAAAATTCATTGTCACCCAATCTGCCCACGAAATCGTGGAAAAATAAATGTGCGCAATTGAATGACTTGTTGAAAATATCCCTGGGATATAAAAGCGAAGTGGTGCAATCCGAATATCTCGGTATCTTGGTTTCCCTCGCCCTCTTTTTCCGCAAAAGGATTCTGCATATTGGCGGTTTGCAGATGGTAACTCGAGGACTTGCAAGAAACTAAACTCCGCTTCCTGGAAACTTTCTAATTTCAATTTGAGCTTAGTTTTGTAAAGACTTAAACAACACCAAGAGACTTTAGAAATCACATACACAGAAATTAAATTGTTTAACTAATAAAAAAAACATACATCATACAATTTTGAAGGTTATCAAAAAAAGAACAACATTTCAATCAATGACTTATTAAATAAAAATACTGAATAAATATTACATTTTTTTGATTAAAATATAACTTTGGTTTATTTGAGTTTCTGACTTTTTTCCCTGCATTTATTATGTATATTTTCTTCCTTATAAATTATGTATATTATCTTGGTATTTCCAACTCTCTAACTTGTTTTCTCTGCGTGTAGTAACTTACTGTTTAAATTTATACCTAGATCGTGTGGGAGACTGCAGAGCACGAGGAATCCTTTCGAGGACTGTGGCTGTCCATCTGCAACGACTGGCGATACGACATGCACCACGAATGTCTGTTTTAAGCCGGGCCAGAATGTCCTTTGGCCCAGTGACACATAAACTGTCTCCGTCTACCGCCTGCATATGTTTTCCGCTTCTGCGAAGAACGCAGGGGAGTCCTTCCTGGCTTATCCTTCCGGCTGCCTAGCTTGTATGTAATTTGTATGTACGCCGGCGTGTGATGGCAACGAGTGATACTGACACAACGACAACGACAAAGACAACGCCAGCGAAAACGACAACGACGAGGACTACTTAAAGGCACCATTAAGGACACAGCATGTCGCTAATATTCAATGCGGTCTGGTCTGGACCGGACTGGTCTGCTATGTTATATCCTGGTTCTCATCCTGTGTCCATCCCCATCCCCTTAAATGTTGCACATCCCCCATCGCTTGCAGCCGCTTGCAGCAGTCAGAGTCATCTGGTTGCATTTCCGTTTTAATTAAGAACCCGAAGGCCGGTGCCACCGGAGCAATCTGGCATCTCTTCGTTTATTTTTGGAGAAAACGAAACGTCATCAAACACCCAACCAGCCATTACTTGCTAAGTACTATTTAAAGTGACTAAAATACTATAACTAAGGTGGGAAGTATTTTAGAAGAGACTTACAAGCTTTCCACGTCTGGCAGTTCACTGAGGAAGTCCTCATGAATGATTTCGAAATTGTTTCCCGTTAGATCTCTGTAAAGTAAGAAAATGTGCACAAAACATGAGGACTTAAAAAATTGTTACAAGAAGTAATAACTTTGCTAAAGAATACATTTTATTATTGGAAAAAGCTAGTCAAATATCCTATGAAAATTCAAGTTACTATTATAAAACACGCAACTGTACTTACAGAGTTGCCAGATCATGCTGCGGCAGTCGTCCTGGTATAACGGTAAGCTGCTGAAATCGGCAAAGAATTTCATCTCCCCGACAAGGACAGCTAAAGTTTTCGTTGTGCCACACTTAAAAACAAATTTTCAAAATTCAAGATGAATTTTATACAATTTTTCTAGAATTGTTTTATATAGGATATCAAGACTTACAACACTCGCCAATCCGAAGATTGTCGTGTCTGCCGAACGGCTGCTTCCTGTACAGGTGGTCCCAGTACTTGGCGTCCACCTCGTTCACGCAGTTCACCTCGTCGGAGCTGTCGTCGCAGTCGACGCTTCCGTCGCAGTTCGCTCGCTGCGGCACACACTGTGCGGTCGTGTTGCAGTGGAAGTATCCGCCAGGACACTTGTCGTCGGCATCCGGAACCAGGATAACGGACTCGATCGCATCGCTCATGCCCAGCAGCGATATCACCTCGCGAACGGGCGCTTCCGTCTCCTTCGCTTCCACCAATTCCATTTCCGTTTCCGGTTTCGTTCCGATTCCTGTTCGCGATGTTTCTGTTGCCGTCCTTGTCGCTCCTTCAGCTCCTCCCGCCACCGTTGATGCGAGTGTGAGCAGGATGGCGAGAAGCATTGTGATGGGCAGGTGATCTGAAAGGGATAACGATTGGTAAGTGCTTGTTATCGAAATTTGAATTTAAATCTATGGTGACATAAAAATTCTAATTAATTAGATTATTATTAAAACCCTAAAAAACAATGTTAAATTCAATTTGGACTTCAAAAAGTTTTTATTTCTTGGCTTCTTGTTCCTACGAAATAATAAATTACTTTTCATTACAACATATTTGTTCCACTTTACTTTAAAGATAATTTTCAAAGGTTACTGCCAAGACAAAAATAGCGCCCAGGAAGTACATAATTGGAATTCGAGAATTCAAAGTGAAAATGTAGAAATCCCAGAACAATTTGTACAACTTATGGCCAAAGGGAATCCACAAGCGTAAGCAGCAAAAGAATAAAAAGCAAAATCGAACGCGTCGAAACAAACAGATGTTCTTGCCGATATGGCTCCATAAATTTCTTTAGCAAATGGGGCCGAAATATTTGTTTAACCAATTAAATGGGTTAATTAGCATCCGATTAGCAGAACAGCGAGATGAGAGAGTGGATGGAGGAGGAGGAGCACTTTTCGGCCTACTCATTGATGTTCTACTAGATAAACTCAACACGCGCTTATGGACAAATATAGTTATATATATCTATGTACATATATATACATATATACCACCCCCTTGAGGCTGTTGTCAGTGCATTTATCATTTTTAACGATTGCACTTAATGCGTCGCAATTTCCAGCCCCCACATGGAATCGCAATCGATTGGAGGACGAAGATATTTGCGGGGGGCGGGGGAATATTCGATATCTGGAGTTGGGAATTGTAAATTGCAAATATGTAAAATGTGTAATAAAATTGTTTGTAATAAAAATTACGCACAGTACATTTGTGGCCCAATGGCGATGAAATGGCCCGTGAAATCCCCCTTTTTGCCGTTCGGCAGGACACTTTTTCCACCATTTTCCCCCGCCGACGACATAATCCATAGCCCCCTGCCCGGAAAATCCTGACGTACTTGTTGGCTTTCTCGATAAGGCATCATCCACATCATCATCATGACTCGGTGACTTTCTGATGGACACGATGCCACGACAGCAAATGGAAAAGGCGTAATCAAAAAAAGACAGAAGGAAAAAATAACGTACCTGAACAAAAAGTTTAATTATAATGCGAAAACGGAAAAGGTAAACAAATGCAAATCAAATTAAATCGAATCGTGGATATATCGAGCTTAAGTTGGAATGGGACTATCGAAGTTTGTTTACTCTATATGGAACAAACAGAAATTGTATTTTGGCGTGGCGATTCAAGGCTTAAACAAGAAAGACCACACCCAATAATAACATCTAGTAATATAAATAAAAGTGCGTTGGTGGATAAGGTAAAAAAAAAAATGTTTTTAATGAGAGAATAATATCAAAGGACATATGTAAAAAGTTCCCAAACTTAAATTTGATTTTAAAACAAAAAAGGCAATTTAATGCAAGTACCAAACTATATTGAAAAAGAAACACCCACAAGTATGCGTAAGCTTTTGATTATTATAAAATAATTTTTGAAGAAATAAAATAATTTAAATATCCAAAAGCTGAAACTGATTAAGGTTTTCAAAAGGACTGTCCGTAATTTGCTTAAAAACATATTATTAGATCAACAAATGGAAAATTCCTGCAAGTCGAAAACATATGGCCGCAGTTCCCGGATAACCAAGGACCCCTGGATGCGGATGCGGATGCAGATGCGGATGCGGATGGACGATTGCATTGCAGGTCATAACTCAGACGGCGGAGAGAACAACGGATTGCAATTACGGATGGAGGCGTTGGAGGAGCAAGGATTGGCAGAAGGATTGGCAGAAGGACTGCCGCGATGGAAATGGAAATGATGCGGAGGGGCTGCGACTCCATAAAAGTGTAATTAAGTGCGGCATCCAGAATCCGAAAGCAAGGACAAGGACATTGTGCACTTGACACGTGTTGCTAATGTCCACTGGGGATGGGGAATGGGGAGTGGGGATCAGGGGTTAGGAACAGAAATAGGGATAAGGATAACCGGAACATGGACCTCCTCCCTCCCCCCTGCAATCCAATCCGATTCCCCCTCCAATGGAAAACCGAGGGAATGCCGATGGCGTATCAACGTTTTGTCAACACATTTGCGGCAAATTGAAATGTTTGATGTGTGCGGCTTGGACTCGTCTGGCTACTGAAATGATTGATGATCCAGATCTCAGCAAGGAGCCATCCCCTTCCCGCTTCCTCCTTCCCCACACTTTCCACTTCCACATTTCCCACCCATTTTTACGCCCATCTGTGGAGTGCATCCAGCTCGTCGGAAAAAATACTTTTACAACTTTGTAGCTCATAAATTCCCATTGAGCCAATCAAAGGGATGCACCTCTGCAGACTGCAGCTCAAACCCATTAGACACTTATTGATTAAGGAATTTTTCCTCAGCACAAACAAAGCATTAAAAATCCTTTTTAATTCTTGTGGAAAACCTTGAAACAGAAATTATGAAAGGATGTTTTGCCAGGGGCTTAATTATTGCATTTTGCCTTAGAATTCTTTGAAACAAAGTTGTTATGCACAGGAAAATCATTTCATCATTTCACATATTAATTTGTGTTTAAATTGTAAACTCTAAAATAAAAAAAAACTGGTTTAAAATAAGTTAATTATTATAAAATTAAATGATAAATTATATGATTATAAGATTGTCAACTTAAAAACTATAACTGATTAAGAAGATTAGATAACTAATTTATAACAAACTGTATAAACAAAAGGATTATACTAATTTTAAAGTGATTTTCCTTTTCCATTTCCTGCCCAGGATAGTAGTACTTTTTTTCGCAGTGCACAAGCACACCCAAACAGTTGAACAGACCACCCTCGAAATTGAATCGGATTTGTTTATCCTGTCTGACCCTTACACTTCGTGGCCGAAAGAAGCCTCGAGAGGTGAAAGTTCCGAGTCTTTTGGGCTGGGGCAGCAATTAAAACAAACGAAAACCTAATAGGAACTCACGAAAATAGAAGTCAATTGTGCTCGACGGCAAAGTAAACAAATTGTCGGCAGTTCGATGTCCGCTGTCCATTACTCGAGATTCTCGCTGTCCGTTTTCTGTGTTCACCGATCAATATCTATTAGATCATCCATGAATCAGAGCTCTTAATTTGTGAATAATATCTTAAAACTATAAACTTCATATAACCATAAATCGTATCTCAACAATGATAAAATTATTACTTATCAATCAACTCTATGGCAACCTTAAAATTTATTTCATTTAAATTTAATTAATGAAACTGGAAAAGTGTACTTTAACTTAACAAGATGAAAAACGATTTAAAAATGCAACATGCAACTTGCAACATGCAACATGCAACATGTAACATGCGACATTTCACTTGACACATGCTGCAACATGCAATATGATGCATCCAACATATTACTTGCAAAATATTAATAACCATTTTTTTAATTTTAATATAATTAACTACATTAAATATGTGCCACGTCATCATAAATGAGAAATTCAAATTTTTAACGCCCACCCGCTGTTAATGCACCGCCTTTGTAATTCCCAACTTGTTCTGGTCATTTCCTCATGGGATAGGCGTTGATTTTGGCCCATAAATCAGTGGACCGGACTGACCGGAAGTTCCCTTCTGGAACTTTTTCGGATTCTTGCTGTGCGGGTGTGTGTGTTGTACTACGGTATCGCCTGTATAGCGATACCACCTATGGACCAGCTCCAGGATGCAGTGCGTCAAGCATCCAAGTGAGCAGGTGCCATTTTTTGGGATTCAATAAATTTGGATAAGTATGCCCCCTGTGGGCAACACCGCTGTGGACCAACTCCAGGATGCAGTGCATCCATGTGAGGAGGTACCATTTTTTGGAGTTGAATAAATTTGGGTAAGGGAAGTCCACCTTGAGTGGGCGCCGGGATGCAATGCATCACTGGCATGGACCAACTCCAGGATGCAGTGCATCCATGTGAGGCGGTACCATTTTTTGGGAACCAATAAATTTTCTTCCCTGTAGGTGACTCCACCGAATGTGGACCCCCCGGATGCAGTGCTTCGGAAACCCGATAAAGGTAAGTGATGACGTGGCCTTCTCTGAATAAGATTTAATAATTAAATTATTGTTTTTATTTACTTATTCCAGGTTTCCGGGTTTATATTTGTGCTGCAGTAAAAGAATAGCACCACTCTTGAACTTGGACAAACAGATGTGTGGGTTGTTCTCCTGATATCAACCATACGGCGGCACCACTATGGACCAACTCCAGGATGCAGTGCATCCATGAGAGGAGGTACCATTTTTTGGGATTCAATAAATTTGGATAAATATGCTTCACTGCAGATAACTCCACATTGAGTGGACTCCGGGATGCAGTGCACCGGAAGCCCGAAAAAGGTAAGTGATTACGTGGCATTCTGTAAATGCAATTTAGTAATTAAATAATTGTTTTTATTTATTTATTTCAGGTTTCGGAGTTAGTGTGTGTTTGAAAAGCAGCTGCAGCTGAGAATTCACGCCACTTGAACTTGGACAACAAGATGCAGTGATCAAAGGATGAGTCGCAGTGAGTACTTAGAACTTAATTAATTAAGGTCTTTATTTAAGATAAGAGAAATTTCAGATAGTTTTGAAATTTAAATACGAGTTTCACAAGGTATAACCTTCCATAATCCATTTCCATTATTTAAATTTTTATAGTCAAATACGATTTATTTTTATTAAAATCAGGAATAGGACTTTTTACATAAACTGGATAAAACTTCAAGATGAGAATTCAGTATAATTAAAATATATAATATTTTATTCTAAATTGTTATTATATATGACTGAATAACATTTGAATGTACGACTTCCCTTAGCTGTGATTGCTGTTTAAGTGAACATTAACAATAACTTCTGACTGACAAACTTCTGACTGAAATTATAATACCCTTTGCTCTGCCAGGGTATAAAAATGAAGAAAAAAACAAAATACGATTTAATTGTTTAATGACTTTCAACCTCATTTGGCCATTTTCGTTTTCCAAATCGATTGGCAACTGATTTATCTGGCAAACAAACTATGCTTGGCCAGCATACTGAACGGATTTGGATTCGGAATTGGAATAGGAATAGGTATAAGCGGATCTCTCCCCATTACGACATGTACTAAAAACAGCTGAGAAATTCCAAAAGTTTTATTCACTCCTCACCGTTCGACTGTTTATATTCCGAGTTCGATTTTCGCTATTGCAATGGAATTTTTATACTTACCGAAAACGAAATCGAAAACAGAGCAAACCGAGAAAAGTTTTTGGCTAACAACAAAGTTGTAAACAAGAATCTGGCTGGGCGGGCATTAGAAAAAAACAGGGGCGCAAAAATAATATAAAAGAATTATAAAAACAGAAGCCAATGATAAACAGAAAAGGCTGCTCAAGTGCCCATTTGCAATGGGTTAAATATATCTGTTGATCTTTGTATACGAGTATATATAGATACACCGGCTATATCGAACGGATCTCTCGGGGAGTTTTATTTTTAAAGAGTCGGCGAAAAGGCCAAAGAAGGCAAACGTTCTGTGGGTTAATTGTTAAACCATCACATTCGAGAGATTCATTTGGGTTCACCGCACTTAATTACTCGATGGAAATTAATCATTTCATCGCTTTTTCGGATATGGCTTTATCCCACCCCCTCCCCATTCCCCTCCTTTGTCCCTCTTAAGATCCCCGTCTAATGATTGGCAATGGTGGGTGGTATTTGTCAATAGTTCGGCTATTTGAACTGCCGCTGACAGCGGCGGCAAGAGGCCCGAATACAAATGGAAATAAATGCGAGGCGAAATGGTTAATGCCTATGCGCTCCCTTCTGACGGGTCAGAGGTCATGTGACACACAAACGGAGGAAGCCCTGCCGAAATTAAGCGGTTTCTGAGCTGCTTTTCGATACACTGGGGGAAAATTCACCGTATATTATGAAGGTTAGTTCATTAAGGCATTTTTAGAAAAAACTCTACTAGGTTTTCTTACAACAATACGGACATTACCTACACTTTTAGTTTCTATTACTAACCTAGCAAATATCGGTTTATTTCTACTTAAATTAATATTTATATTTAGTTCTGAATACCTTTATTACTAGAACCTGTTCTTTGTAAAGGAAAAGACATCAAAACGAATTTGATTTTAACAAATCTGCGAACTTCAAGAAATGTTTTAGGTTGCATTTTGTTTTTTACTTTATTTATATTCTTTCTCTGCATCCTAGAAGGATTTCCCTTATTGCTTCTATTTGCCTTTCCCTTTTTATCTGTCCTTCTCAGTTAGGCTTCAATCAGGGAATTACGCTAGCCATTTTTCATTTTTCCACTTGGCAGGGTCAGAGGTCACATCCTTACACACACACACACACACGTCAACACATATGTAAATACCGTTGTTTTATCTTGTTTCTATTTGTTTTACAAAAAAAATACGACTCTGTCCAATTTCTGTCCCTTTTTTTGGCGAGTAAAAAAAGTAAAAAAGCTACGCATAATATTAATTAGATGTCTTTTTATGGTGTAAATATTATCCCAAAGGAACTTTAGTTTCGGTTTGTAGTGCAATATTGTATACATTTCAAAATGCCTGTAAGTTTATTTCCAAATTTATTCGGCACAACTTGTACTATGTCATAATTAAATTATGTATTTTATTGACTTATGTTGATAAAAATGTTTTTATTTGTTTAAAATTAAATTTTAAAGAGAACACCTTCAATGTTTTTAACGGTTTAAGCATACGATCACTATCGATATATTCTTAATTCAAGTCTAGTATCGATGAAAAAAAATCGCAAAGAGACAAAATTGTTTGCGAAATACATTGCGGATGTAAAAACGAGTGTCGTAAATTTATGTATATTATCTTGTAACCCCTTTGTTGGATCAAATCTATAACTACAATTGAAAAGCAATCGAAAATGGAGGAGGACCACTACATGATTCTGGGATTGAGTCCGGATGCCACCGAGGAGGAGATTACGAGGGCTTACAGGCGAATGGCCCTAATTTATCATCCCGATAAAAACCGTCATCCTCAGACGGTGGCGTATTTCAGAAAGGTCCGGGCTGCCTACGATGTCCTATCCGATACGGATTCTAGGGATGCCTACGATCGAAGCTTGCGACGGAGGGCATCGGCATCCAATCGGCAAGTTGTCACCCACCAACAACAACAACAACAACAACGACAACAATCAGCTCAGGTGGAATCCCCCGATTTATTTCCCACAATATGCGCCGTTGGCGGTGTGTTGGTGGGTCTATTTCTGGGATTCGGTGCTTTCAAGACGTTCTACAACTCAACTTCGGGGAACAAATAAGGTGCAATCCCTACACAAAATAAAAAACTATCGGCATTGTGCAATCAATTTGAATGTAAAAAAAATTATGAACCAAAATATCTTGTAGAATTGATAGAATTTATTAAATTGTTGAACTTTATAGAATTAATAGAATTTATTTGAATGTTAACTTTAATTAGAAGAAAGAAAATTATTTCAATAAAGAAAAAACAAAGTCAAAATTTATAAAAAGAAATAAACAAAATTTAAAACAGCTTTAATACATTTACGATCTCAGGTTATTTCAAAAAAGTTGGAGTTGTATACAAATTGTAAAAGTTGAACAACACTTTAAGGGATCAGAAAACTTAGTATCATTGAAGGAAACATAATGATGCAGTGTTTAGATATAAGGAAAACTAGCTTAAAGTTGGTTTGGATAATAATTGATTACCTACTTGATACCCCATTTCGTTAAACTCGAGTATCAATTACGTTTTGTCGACGAAAAAAACAATCCCAAGGACTTCACGATGTTGAATCCTAGATAAAACGACTGTTGAATGGACAAGCTCGGAATATATGATTCAAGTTGGCCCAAAAGTTCCAAAAGTTATTTGGTGCGAAAAGTTTTTGACTGGCAAAGAAAACTTCCTTGAGTTGCGAGTTAACTTTACGCCCTTAGTTGGCTTATCAATGTTTGTTTTATTATTGAGCGAGCTGCCAATAACGTTATATTAGCAGATAATAATAGCACTTAGACCATTACAATATACATATATTGTTTAAATTGGAAGTTAAACAATGATTCAGAAGTATTTCCTTTTTAAAGTTAGCTTTTTCCCTGCACCATTGCATATTTAACGAATACTTTACCAAATAAATTCAATAAAACAAAACCCAACTCGCATTAAATTGTATGCCACTTCCTTTGAAGGATAGATGAGTTCTCACTTCATTAGCGAGCTGCGTATTTCTACAGGACCTCTGATCCCTGGGGATTTCATTTGCACTTCAATCATATAAGAGCTCGATTTTCCCCGCCCACTCGCAATCACTTTACTTTCGGGGATTCCCCGGCCTTCTGTTTTTCCTCTCCTATCTCTTTTACTTTTTTTTATTTTTTGGCAATCACTCAGGCCTATTCACATGCACATGTCCGTTTTTGGATTTTCGATTTTGGTTTCCCAACCGCCGAGCGAACCCTAATGAGGCATAACCTTTATGGCGGGCACTGTCATCGACCGCCTGCCATGGACAATTCAATTATGCGACGCCTCAAAAATAACACCACAAAATTATATGGATTACTTGATCAACTTAAAAGCTCCGCTGGACCCGGAGAACCGAAACTTGATAGCTGGCCTTCAATTCATTGGCCCTCTGGACATCGGGGCATCGATTAGCGTCCGCCGGATAATGATATGGATGCGGATGCGGATATGGATGTGGATGTGGATCCGAACCTAACAGAACCGAACCGAAAGGCCTACACAGATGCTACTGAATCTTGAAGGCACTCAAACAAAAATTGGACCCTGAAAAATGAATATATTTCCTGGGCACTATTTAACAAAATTCTAATGTGTACCTAATTTAGAAATTTGTTTGTCAAAACTAATTAAAACTATTGTTTTTGAGTGAAACTACATATTGGAATTTTATAAAATATTTTATTTATGTGTTACTTTGTGATATAACTATATTTTGGAAGTTCACGATATATTTTATTTTAAATTAATATGGCATAAAACATGCATATAGAAGAAATACTTTATCAAAACCCTAATCTTAGCTTAATAAAAATCTATGTAATGTGGATAGATATTCCCAGCTCAAGGTCTGGATTATACTATTATTTAAAAAAGAAAACAAAGATTTCTTTGAGTGTGGAACTGGCTGTTAATGGATCCGCTGCAGTGCACCCACACGCGGAGCCAGTGAAATTGTAGAACCCCTGCCCATAAATAACGATTGCTGGCGGTATTCAAATTACCTAAAAGCGAAATATCGGAGTTGGGTGCGAATGGGGATAAATGGGGGTGGGAATTTCCCCCACCCGAGCCTCAAATGGATAACCCCACATTTTCGGGTTGAACTTGGCCGTCGGCGACAAGTTCTTAAGTGGAAATTCGCTGGACCGGTTTCCACTTACGTTTCCACATATTCGCATAGTGTTTTTCAGCGCCTTGAGGTCACGGAAATTGTGGAAAATCGGGCCGGGAAAAAGGAGTAAGTGGGCAGCACAGCATCGCACAAATACACTTTTTTCGACTGGCTGAATTACAATTTGTTTTTTCCGCTTTTCCGGCAATTGTCGAGATTTTTCTCATGCAGCTTACGCTTTGTAACTAGGATTAAATCCCATGAAAGGTACACACTTTTAATCCAAATATTTATAATTCAATTTAGCCCGTTTGCTGGCTAGTATTTCTCATCTTAAGTCGTGACGTAATTCCTTTCGTGAGAAGAAAATGTTTAAAATATGTAAATGAGTGGGTATTTAAATTATAATGCGAAGAAGCAAAGCGTAAGATCATTTGTGGTTTCTTCAAAACTAAATAATAATATTTTCAATGGCATCATACATAAATTAAATTTCATTTAAATAATTTATCAATATGTTGAGATTTTTTACATATGAAAAGAAGAATTAGAAAATAGTTTTCTTTCTCTTAATCGTTTAAAATGCAGACTATATTTCTTAGAGTGAGGTAATATGCTCAAAAATAATTCCAGCATTAATGTGAAAATAACTAACTAAGCACCTCAATTAAATAATCCACCGACTAAGCTTATAATAAATATCAAAAACCCAATAATTACCCGAGGAATAGTTCGCCACTGGCGAACTTTGGCGTAATTAAATAGAATTCCTGGGGGAACAGGGAGACAATCTGCACCACATAATTGACACATTCCACTTGTTTTTCGTGGCCCATCAAAAGGTGAGGTTTTGCCCTGGCTGGGGGCTATATGAATAATCCCCGTAGCCATGGTGCCATTTGCTATATAGTCTGGGCCGACTTGGCTGGCCGGATTTGTCTAAGCTGTCAGAGAGCAGTTACAACTAATACAACAAGTTTCGGGGCATCAGGCGTTGTCAGGTCAGCGCCCATTTTTCTGGCCACAAGAGCCACAAGGACCCAGCACCACCCATCTCCACCCAGCACCACCCGCAAACTACCCGAAAAGCATCCATCCACAAACCATTCTGGACCAACCACTTTGACCACCTTTTCGGGGCTTACCCTTCGACCAAGCGTTTGCAATTCATTCGGGCTCATAAATCTAAACGGCTCCACGCACTTACACTTAATGACATTTTATTACAAAAATTTAACACGAACCCATCGACGGACGATGGAAATAGACATTTTTCCGGAAACTGGAGCGGATGAGAGGGAGCGAAAATCCAGTCATTGAGGCGCCGGCTCTATTTTAATAACATAAATTAATATGCAAATTGGTGCGGAATTTTAATTGAAAATCGGTTCGGTCTAAATACATTTTAGCCAGTCGAATTTTACTAGATTTTCAATCTGGCAATCCGAGTTCATGTCAATCATCAAAATATTGAAAGGATTCTGTAACATTTTGGTTTTTGCCAAATGCTTAACTCACTTTTAAGTTTTTCTTAAAAAAATGATTGATATGTTGTGTACATTTACAATAAATTAAATTTAATTGAATTCTTTATTTCTAAACCTTAATGATTTAAACATTTTCTTTAAATCAATTAATCATTGATTCAGTCCCTTTTCTTGTTTCTTTTTTTTGTAATTCGAATTCAGCAATTTATCACTTCACAACATAAAAAAAATGTTCCTACACACCTAAAAAAAGTTTCTTGCAATAAATGCATTAATGTTATTTACAGAAAATGTCTCTTTTATAATGCATAAAACTTTGTTGTAAAAGTTGTTCAAGCCTTTTGAACTTCGTCAGACATTCAGGTTTTTATAACTACTTGTTCACAGGTTGAACTTTTGCTACTACCTTGGGAATTCCAAATAAAATAATAATGCAACTGATTTTTAATTAAAAATTTAAAAGTTAAGCTATGACTTCAAAAATAAAGTACATTAACGAAATGTAACCCGGTTTTATTTACGCATTTTGCGCCTTTACTTAGTAAGTTTGTTTGTAAATGCTTTCTTCTTTTGAAGAAACATTGGCTTTGATTTCTATTTTAAGAAGTTTGATTTGTGTCTATGTCACAATTTCTGGAGTAAATTTATTTATAGTGCAACATTTTTTATTGCTTTTTTATAAGGGGAATGTTTATATATCCTGTGTTTTTTTGTAACAGTAAAGTTTTAGTTAAATTGGTGATTCGATTTCGTCTTGAAATTCCCCATATTCCCGTGGATTATATCCACCTAGCCATCTGAAATCCCCGGGACTCCCAGATGGTCAATATCTTGGCCGGGTTTATTATTTCGATTCGCGTTAAAATGCCACACAAACAATGCGGATAAAGTAGATAAAAACATATACACATGGACTCGGCCGATATCTGGCATCTATAACTGCATCGGTAAATATACAATATGGAGCACAAAAAACAAGATGGAAATTGTTTATTTTTCCGGGACGTACGCATGATCGTTATTGACATCCAGGGAGTTCTGCTCTCCTCCGCCGATTAAACGGGCAATAAACAATATTTAATTATAGACTTTGATGGGCACTGGAAAAAAATAGGAAAACTTCGCCGCACTTCGATGCGAGATCGTTCCGGAGATCCGAAGCTATATAGATCACTGAATATGTTCGATCCGATCCGATTCGATTCGATTTGATACGATTCGGTTTTTTGGTCCGTGGCGCCGCGCGTTCGCTGCCAACGATAACAAACAACTGAGCTGAAAAAAGCCGAGCGCCTGCAACATGTGGCATGCGGCTTTCCCAGGTGCCCCGCCCACTGGCGCCTCCTTGCCGCCCACTTTCCACCAAAGACCGCCCAGTCGCCACCCAACGAACTCATTCACCGAACCAGCTGGCAATTTATGAATGAAAAGCCCAAAGCTCCGACGAATTCGCCAAGTTCAAGGTGAAAAGCCTCTGGTGGAAAAGCCTTCAGGAAAAGCTCAGGAAATGGCTCGAAATAACCAGTCCTTTGAAAAACGAACCCAAAGAACTTACTGTAATTTGCAGCATATGGAACGATATACTTCGTTGTCCTAAAATTAGGGTTTTTAAAACCCACCGGAAAATGATTACGATATCCATAACCATAATGGTTCTCATTACAGACTTTAAATTAATGTGATCAAATATTTTCAAATTTGAATTAAGCAAAGCATCGCGGGTACCCCTAACATATCGAAATGGCCTTATCGATAGGTTGAACATATGGCCACAGAACTATCATCCCTAACCGGCTGTTTTCGTTATTCTTTTTTGTTGTTGTTATTTCATAATATACTATTAAGAAAATCCATTAAATATCAACGAAATGCAGAGCACAAGGAGCATCCGCCTGCTGTCCCTGGCAAGGAGATTCGCTCACATCCGGACAGCGGCGCAATCAGCCCAGGAACCCACGGGTTCAGGAAAGGACAGCTCCAAAGCCACTTCCGGATCGGAGCAGACCACACATTTTGGATTCCAAACTGTCAAAGAAAGCGAAAAGGAGCAGAAGGGTGGGTAGCAAATTAAAAGAGGAGTTCAAGGACTACTACGATTACCTTTCCAGTCCACGAGGTCTTCGAACAGGTGGCCAATTCCTACGACATGATGAACGATGCCATGTCGCTGGGCATCCATCGCGTGTGGAAAGACATTTTCGTGGAGCGACTGGGTCCCACGCATGGAATGCGACTCCTAGACATGGCCGGCGGGACCGGGGACATAACCTTTCGCTATCTGCGCTACCTGGCCAACCAACCCAATCCTCAGCAGCGCGCCAGCCATGTTACCGTGTCCGATATCAACCAGCACATGCTGGACGTCGGCGAGGAGCGGGCCAAGCGACTGGGCCTGACCACCGATCGGCTGCCCAACTCCTCGATCGCCTGGCAGTGTGCCGATGCCGAGAAGCTGCCCTTCAAGGACGAGAGCTTCACCGCCTACACGATTGCCTTTGGCATCCGGAATTGCACGCATGTGGATAAGGTAAAGAACAGGTGATCAGCTGAACCCATTTAGGTCTAAATGAATCAATTCCGACTTATTAGAATCCTTTTTTTTATAGAAGGATTACTCATAACTTCTCTTCAACTTCAGGTTCTTTCCGAGGCATATCGAGTGCTGCAGCCGGGCGGTCGCTTCATGTGCCTGGAGTTCAGCCACCTGACGAACGAGACGATGCAGTGGCTGTACGACCAGTACTCCTTCCAAGTGATCCCGCCGATGGGCCAGCTGCTGGCTGGCCAGTGGCAGGCGTACCAGTATTTGGTGGAGAGCATCCGGCGGTTTCCCAAGCAGGAGCAGTTCAAGCGGATGATCGAGCAGGCGGGCTTCGCGCAGGTGTCCTACGAGAACCTCACCTTCGGCGTCGTGAGCATTCACTCCGGCTTCAAGTTGTGAGATCCTCGCGCGACTTGTGTTGCAAGCCACTTAGATTTACACCTCTGTTGTCTGTTCACGATTCCCCATGCTGATCACGTCGGGCAGGTCATAAAGCATCGAATTGAACAAGCTTTTCTGGCGGCTTTTATTTCTGTATGTTTACATTTTGAGGTTTATGTGGCTCTTTGTCAAATATGTACGTATTACATGTGCCAAGAGCCAAGAGCCAATCGCAATTGATGTCATCTCCGGGCGACAAGGCCTGGGAAAGACCTTGAGGACTGTGCCAGACCCACTTAGATGGCCGGACGATATGCTAACCCAAAAACGGAGTACTGTACCAGGTGGCAGTGCACCGCGGATTGCGAATCAATTGAAATTCCAAACGCCCAACGGGCAATTTCCAAAAAAAGTGAAAATCAATGTAGGCTAATCGAAAGTTCATTTTCGGTTAGTGTGTGATATAATGCAGCACTATATCCGAGTTCAACTGCCCCAATCGAAATCAGATTTAGTGCAGGTGAAATTTATGCGTGTGAATGCCGCTGAATATCAACGAAATTCAAATAAAAGCATTGAAATGCCATCAAAATAATTGACCGTGCCGTGCTAATTGGCAATTGGTAATTGTCATTTGTCCGCTTTGCTTTTATTACAATTATGCTTTCACCAGTGGCGCCCGATTAGAGCGGAGATTCGCTGGCCATCGCCCATCTTGGCCGGAGTGGCATGGATTATGTAAGTCTGCCACTATTGATTCGTATCTAAATCGCAGCCAAATCATAAACCTTCGGCCCATCTCCGGCAGCCGAAAGTGAAAAGAGCTAGGCGATTAAAAACAAAAGAAAAACATGCGGAACATGCAGGCCCATTGAAAGCAAAAGTTAAAGTCTTGTGCGTGCGCAAACGTGCGGCGCATGCGTAGGTGGCCATCGGACAATGGGAACAGTGGCTCAGGGCCGAAAAATACACCAATATTTTATGAACATTAATCACACAATTTGTAAAATAAAACAACGGCTTACCAGTAAATTAAAAGGATTTATGGCCCCAAGGAAGGACTATCTAATATAAATAAAGTATACTGTTCAAAGCCAAGCAATATATATTCAATGCAAACTAGTTTGCTAATTATGAATACGAAAGTATTTCAAAGATTGAACAATTTGAGCAAATATAAAAAGGTTATTCTTAAAACTTGATAAATAATATTATTCATTATATTTTATTTAAAAGTAACGAACGAATTAAATTGCTTTCATAATTTTCTTTGAGAGGAAAGCCTTTACAAATATCAAATCTCCAAAATGATTTAAAAATGCTTATAAGTTTTGTTGACTACAAAAATATGATAAGTTTTTAATGTTTATGAAAAGCAGAAATTCTAAGAAAAGGCTTTAGCAGATAAGCTATATATTTTATATCAAAATTTATAGGTATTAGTTAGAATCTGTTCAAAACTAGATAATGTAACCACAGTGCGCGATCGGAGGGCTAAGCATAATGAGGTGACGCCTTTGGCGGAGTGGAGTGAGTGGGTGAGTGAGTGGGTGTTGAAGGAGAGCCGGGGGGTGGTGGGCGGTGGGCGGTGATCGAGTGGCTGGCGGGGGGTGGAGGGGCCTTCGATTGCGGCAGGTGAAATGGCAGCGTAAAAGTCATAAACTGCCCAATCGCCGTACTCCATGCCGAATGAGCCGCCGCAATCCCCGGCGGTGGTGCATTGGCTATAGTCAGCTATAGCACCACCGATTCAGCGATTGGTATGCACAGTGGGTATTTGGGTATTTCGGCGACGGAATGGCCACTGTGCCGCGATGTCCGCTTTATAAATACAACAGCGACCAAGGAAGTTCATTTCATTTTCTTGGCGGCGATCGCAGCAAACGGATTAAACGCGAAAAGATATTGGTGCATATAACACCACCACAAATCGAAACAAAAAAACAACCGAAAAAAGAAACCTCCAACCAAGATGAATCTTTCGATCAGTTCGAGGAGTCGCCATCTTCTGTTGGTCTGCACCATCATCTTCGTTCTCCACGGAGCCGAGGCGGGTTTACGTTTGCGGCAGAATCGCCGATCGGCCACGCCCCCTGCCAGCACAACGCCCACGTTGACATCGGTGCCTGCGGAGGAGGCGCCACCACAAGCGGCGGAGGAGGGTTCACCCATTGTGGCAGCGGAAGTCACCGAAGCGGAACCGGAAGTCACCACGGGCAAACACAAGCGCGGCATCCTCCATGGCCACTCTCATCTTCATGGTGGCCAATGGCCGGCCCGCACCTACGCCTCCCACTACGGGTACAGTGTTCAGTTGCCCGGAGGAAGTGCCTTCCTCTCCGCCGCTCCGCCACATCGCCACTTCGTGAAGTACGGTCACGGCTTGGTTAAGCCACTGGTTTCCGGTTCCGGTTTGCTGCCAGCTCTGGCTCCCGCTTCCGGTGGTCTGCTGCCCGCCGTGGCCACCGCTCTACCCGCCGGACTGCCCGTTGGATTGCCCGCTGGATTGCCCGCCGGATTGCCATCTGTTCTGCCCGCCGGCGTGGCCAGCGCAATTCCGGCCGGAGTGGCCACGGCTTTGTCCACCGGAGTGGCCACCGCCTTGTCCACCGGCGTCGCCCCGCCCTCGTATGTCCTGCGACCTGGCAACGCCCTCGTCTCCTCGTACAGCGTCAACTATCCGCACCAGCACCTGCAGAAGCCAGTGGTCCTCCAGTCCGCCGTTAAGCCGCTCCACTTCCACGGCCCCGCCCCCGGCCACGCCCACGTGCACGCCGTCCAGGTGAGCAAATATATATTTTAACTAAGTTTTTTCCAACAATTTTATTTTAAACTCCAACATGAGAGAAGATTATAGAGATCTTATTAATATTCAAAATGCAAGAAAACTTTAAGAATCTTGTTTTAATTTTTAAAATAATATGAAACCCTAAAGTGATTCATATAAAAAATGTATTGTGTACAAAAAGTTTGCACAGTTTTTAGATTATCCTCGGTGGAATTTTGAAAAAACAATCATATTGATTTAAATTATTTGTTGTGTATATGGTTTTATCTAAAAAGGGAAGGAATTTGTTTGTTTTTTTATACAAAAAAAGTTGTATTACCACAACACTGTTTTCAAAAACAATACAAGCTTTTCTTTTTCTATCATTTTAATTTTATTTGAGTAAACCTTCGCTTAAAAAAAATTCATTTTAATCGGAAAAATTTTAAAATGTAACAAAATTACAAAAATTAATTTTACACCAAGATGATTCAGTTTTTTAGAAAACTGGTATTGCTTTGTTGCAGTTTAACTGAATTTTTATTTATTTATTTCTGTTTTTTGCAGCCCACTTATGTGCAGGCCTACGCTCCAAGTGCTCCTGCTGTGCCTGTCCAGCCTGTTCAACCTATTCAACCTGTTCAACCTCTTCAACCCCTTCAACCCATTCAACCCATTCAACCAATTCAACCAATTCAACCCATTCAACCCATTCAACCCATTCAGCCAGTTCAGCATTTACAGCCCATTCAACCAGTGCAACCTGTGCAACCTGTGACCCATCACTTCCAGCCCGTTCAGCCAGCTACTCCAATTCAACCGGTGGCTCCAATCCAACCCGTTCAGCCCGTCCAACCCACCGTTGCCTTTGGAGTTCCGGCTCCTGCTGCCGTGGATCTTCCGGTGTTCCCGCAATCGCCGCAGTTCCCTCAGTTCCCAGGAGTGCCGACCTTTGCCTTCCAACCCGCCCAGCCGGCGGTGCCTGCCCAGCCTGCCCAGCCCGCTCTGCCCGCCCAGCCAGCGATTCCAGCTGCCCCTGAAGCACCGGAAGTGCCACAGATTCCACAGATCCCGCAGATTCCCCAGATCCCGGCCATACCTCAAATCCCGCAGATCCCACAGTTTCCGGGTCTGCCTCAGTTCCCCGGATTCCCCCAGATTCCCCAGTTCCCCCAGGCGCCGGCCACTCCGAATGTTCCCTCTGTGCCCGCCGTTCCCACAGTTCCAGCGATTCCAGCCTTTCCCAGTCCGCCGACCAGTCAGTTCTTCCCTGCGGCTCCTCAACCACCGCTGCCCCAGCAGCCACCCACTTTCGGCCAGCCGGAGGGTCAGTTCCCCGGCGGAATTGTTCCCCTGCCCGGATCCACGCCCGTGCAGCCGGAATCGGGAACGGGCATAGCCTCGCCGCAGATTCCCCAGTCGCCGGAGGCGGAGAATCCAGCGGAGGTGCAGCCACAGCGACCACCCACCAGCAACCAGCAGCCCTGGAAGCCAGTCTTCTACCAGCCACCCACCGAATCCGCGCCAGCGTCGCCCAATCGCCCATCGATCACCCTGCTCCCGCCCTACGGAAGTCAGTCGCCAGCTGAAGGCTACCTGCCTCCCGTGGGTTCGCAACCGTCGTCGCAGAGTTCCAGCAGCGCCGGAGGAGTCGGCAGCCAGGGGGGAATCTTCGACCAGCTGAGCGACGCGGAGTTGGAGCACATCTTCGCCCAGGCCAACTTGGCGCAGCAGCAGCACCAGCAGAGCCACAACTACCACCACTACTGAGCTAACTAACTAACCACCACTAACCTAGGGATCTTTTCAAAATTTTTTTTTGTTTTTTTTTCCGTTCTGCTTTTACTATTTACTATTTTGTACTTGTAATGTAAATTATGTTATAATTAAATAAGTTATTTATCAAAGATAAGAGAGCATTGAATTATTAAGGGAGAATGAAACCATCTTTGGGTTGAAAGACTTCAGTTTAAACTCAAATAAAAAACAAAAAAGTTTATGAAATAAAATACATCATTTATTTAGGCTGTTAAAGCTTCCTCAAAATGTTTCTGCATTCCAAACTTGTCCTTTTGTTGGAGATCATGAGAAACAACAATCAATCAATCCTGAAAAAAAACCCACAAATGCCTTAAATAAATGAACAGAGCTCTCATTAAATCCGCACATATATATTTATTAATTGTACGTACGTGTGCACAATCATTCACATCAGTTTCCGGCGAACCTCATTTCGGCCCGGAACTACTTCCTAATTCATCAGATGCCTCTCAATGTCAGTTGGCTTAATTTAAGTTAAACTTATATAGTCATTACATGTAGATACCTAATTACAATTTGTTTTTGTTTGATTTCAAAAAAAAATGCCTTAGCTTGGGGTTTTCTCTTAAAAATGTTACATTAAAAACAATTAAAAAACGTATTTATATATATAGTAATAAATTTAATAATAAATAGTTTACAAAACGTGGCGGTTTATGCTGTGTAAACGTAGGCGTTAACTTAAGCCGTAATTTAAATTATCATAAATCATTGAGAGAAGTCCATTTATAAGCGTTTTCATTTCGTTCTTTATATATCCATTATCTTTGCGTTTCGCGGGTGTCTGTATGTAAGTTTCGATTCAAAATCTCCCAAGTGGACAGTGACAAGAGTAAACTTAAAAGGTTTCAAGAAAGTTTTTAAAGAGTTAAAGGCATTTTGAAATTACGTTTCTGTTATTTTTTTCCAAAAGTGATTCCTATTTTATATGCAGTCCACTTGAGAGACTTGAACTCCTTGTTTTTTTATGAGCTATGACGAGCCAAAGTCGAGTTCTATCATGGATGGGTTGGTATGTACGTGCGTTTGGGTTGTACAAACTAAAAACTATTTAAAATTAAGTCAAAAAAAATGTGTTGCTTTCACAAGCGTTTGCTGCTGTCCTGGAGCCATATACTTCATGTCCTTTTACACATACTCTAAGTTATTAAGTTTAATTATAGTAGTATTTATATATTTATATATATATATATATAGATTACGTTGGAGCCTATCATAATGCTCGCCGCCTACCATCCGCTGTGGACTCGAATATTGCTTGGCCTCTGTTTCGGAAGATTCGTGGATAGGCGGTCTCAAAAGTGAAGCCATAACAAAACAAAATCACACAACTTAGTAGTTGAACTCCTCCTGCTTCTCCGAATCGCTGCGCAGATCGGCCACCAGTGGCTCGAAGCAGGACTTGGGTATCAAGGTGCCCACGATCTTCTCGCCCTCGGTCGTCTTCATGCGTATCACTTGCATCTTGCTGTTGGAACGTGTATTCAGTATGTGCTCCACCCGGCCCCAAACGGAGAGCACCGATCCTGCCAGCACGTGGTACAAACGCTGGCGCAATCCCACCTAAAAATCAGGAAAGGAAAGGTAATTAGAAATAGTGTTTTGATAGAATGTTAATCTCATAATATTACGCAGATATACAAGTGGGTAATTGCATGGAAAACTATTTCATCTATTTGATAGTTGATTAATTGGTTTGCTAAGCAATTGAACTCAGCCAACATAGCTTGATCTTTTAACCCATTTGTGAACTTGAGTCCAAGCACTCACCTCGCAGTCGTTGCCCAGACTGACGTTCCTGCAGTTGCCGTTCCAGTAGGCGTGCGAGCAGGTGTTCACCGACGCATCGTACTGCTCCGTCCAGTGCGGCTCCGCATCCTCGCTGTTCACCTTGCGGTACTTCTTCTCCAGCTCGAACAGCGATTCGTGGCGCACCTGAAGACCGGTGTTGGGCCGATAGATCTGGCACATGATCTCCTTTTTGCTGCGCGACTTCTTCTTCTTGCCGTTGCCATCCGAATCGGTGGTGCTGCTCGTCGAGCTGGTGGTGCGCGATGGCTGCTGCTCCAGGATGACCACCATGATGGCGGTGCGCTTTTGATTGCGCAGCTGGTGGGACAGGTAGAAGCCCTCGTTCTCGTTAAAGAGATCGGCATATCTGTGGGTGAAAGGTTTAACATATAATGATAACATAAAAATAGGTAGAGTAGAAGATCTACTCACTTATCGATGGCCTCCTGCCAGATCATGCCGCGCTCCACGCGAACCGTGTGCATCTCCGTGGGCGCCACTCCAGTGGCATGTTTGCGCACAAACCGAATCAGTCGGCAACGGGTCACATTCTCGCCAGCAGCTCCCAGATCTAATGGAATAATAGAGCATATAATCAGCATATCAACAGATTGAGTAACCCTCACTCATAACCACTCACCCACAATGCCCAAATCAAAGCGACCGCCGCGCTTCGCCTGCTGAATGATGGCCGTCATGGTGTCCGTAAAGTATTTGAACAGGCGATTCTGCAGGTCCACCGGACAGCCGAGGATGCGGTTGAGAAACTTTGATATGTTGTTGTAGTCCTTGTCCAGACTCAGCACACCCGGATGGCTCTCGCTGTTCACGATGATGCCCACACCGACCAGAGCACCGGCGATGTCCTTGAAGAACTCCCCGCTGTAATCCGTGGGCGGCGGCACCAGCGGCGATTCGTAGCCCATTATGGTGCGCATCACCGTTTCGAGGGCCTGGCGACCGTACTTGTTGTCAATGTTGAACTGGGAGAGATCTCGGGTCTCCGTGGCCCTGCGATCGCCGTGCGTCAGGGCGCCCAACGATTCCAATCGCTTGGCCACCGTGGAGGCGAATCTCCGCTCGCCAGCCAAATCCGAAATGAGGAAGATGTACTCGGGCGCATTCACCTAATCAGACAAAACTCTTTATTAGTTAAACAACCAATCGGTTTACTTGCTGAGAACCCACCTGATTGGATCGATGGGTGCGGCCGAACTGCTGGATGGCTCGATCGGCGGACCAGGGCAGCTCCAAGGTGATGTGGACACGCCGCCGCTGGTTGAACACCCGGCGATCGCTCTGCAGGGAAATGCCACTGGAGGCCGCCTCCGAGATGATGGCCACATCCTTTTGGCCGTCCATGAAGCGCTGCTTCTCCGTGATGTTCAGCGTTTCCAGCGGCACATCCGATTCCGTTCGCGACTCGTACTGAATGGAGCCATCGTCGTTCTGGACCACGCGACCCCGACGACCCGTCATCTCGGCCACGTTATCGGGTCCGCCCAGCTCGTCGATCAGTTGATCCAACGTATTCGGCGGCAGTCGGGCGCCCAGTCGCTCGATCTTGCGCAGCAGCTCCTCCTTCATGGTGCAGGCGCGCTCGATGGCATCCTTGGGCGGCGGACCGTAGTTGAGCTTAACCCCATTGACGCCCACCGGCGTAACGGTGCCCTTGAGCTCCTGCTTCTTCTGCAGCAGATCCTGGATCTTGTCCTGCGTGGAGAGCTGCGACTTGCGACTCTTGGCCGCATTTAGAGCGGCGGCCACAGTTGCCGACATCGATGCACTGCTACTGGGATCGGTGGTGGCGGTGGTCGAACTGGATGCCGAGGAGGTGGTGCCCTCCTTCTTCGCCTTCTCCTTCTTCACCTTCTTCTTGGTCTTCTTCTGCGTCTTCTTCGTGGACTTCTTGCTGCGCGCATTCACCCAGGGATCGATGTCGCTGTCGCTGCCGCTGAAGAACGGATTGAAGTCGGAGCTGGCGTCGCTGGCCACGCTGCGTCGATCGCTGTCCGCCTCGTGATCCTCGTCGTCCTCGTACTCCTCGCTCACATCGCTCTGGAACTCCTCGTCGCTGTTCGCCTCATCGCTGTCGCTATTGGAGTTGCCACCCGCCGCGTCCCGCTTTCGATTGCTCTTCCTGTCCGCGTCCTCGTTGTCGCTATCGCTGAACTGCCAGGAACCACTGCGCTTCTTCTTCTTGGACTTGCCACCCGTGGAGGAGCCGTTGTCTTTGCTGGAGCCACCCTTTCGCTTGCCAGCGGTGGAGGTGTTGTTGTTATTGCTGCCCAAACTGGATGTGGAATCGGCCAGCGAGGGTGGCTCGTCGTAGAGGCCCAAAATGCGATTGATGCGATTCCGATCGGGCGCCGGAAAGTGACGCTCCACAAACGACTGGAAGACACCTCTGCGGGAGAGTTAAGTGAATGATAAGTATTGCAATTCATGAAAGGAAAATGTGTGTGTGTGTAAGTACTTACTTAGCTGTGGAGACAAAATCGGTGAGTTCGCCATCGTCCTTCTCCAGTTGATCCAACGTTCGTGCCTCGCCCGTCGACTGCAAGCCGATGACCACGCACTTGCCGTACTTGATGGACTCGCGGGCCACCAGCACCGCATGATTCACCTTGGCGGCGATGCAGAGGTACTTGAAGAAGCGCTGATGCGACGACCAGAACTGACCCCACATCGTCTTCTTCATGCGGCTCTCGGCATCAATCAGTTCGGCCGCCTCGGTGAACTTCTGCATGGCCTCCACCCACAGTTCCACGGACTGATCGTAGATCTTGCGGAACTCCTTGGAGAGCGGCACCTCCTCGATCTTGAAGCTGACACCCTTGAAGCTCAGCTGGCGGGCAATGTACATGCCGCGCAGTTTCATGTCCATGGCCACGATCTCCATGGCGCCAACGCCACTATAAATGATTTAATATAAGGTATAAATGAGGATGTATAGTTTATTTAAAAGTCAATTAACTCACCGTCTCTCCACGGCGGTGATGAAGTCATTGAAGTTGGCGAAGGCCGTGCCCTGACCCCAGAGACCCAGTCGCACCATGTAGGCCATGTTCTTCGGCTCGGAGGCTCCGGTTGCGGAGGCATACACCACTCGTGCCTTCGGCAACTTCTGCTGCAACTCGAGAACGGTCTGACCCGTTTTCGTTGGCTTTCCAGAGCCCACGGGACAGAGGTTCTTGGCCTTGTGACACTCGTCGAAGATGATCAGACCCTCGAAGTCCTCGCCGCACCATTGCAACAGTTGGCGGAATCGCGATCGATACTTTCCCGTCTTGTTGTTGGACTCGCCAATCAGAGCGGAATATGTGCTGAAGATCACGCCGCGCTTGCAGTTGTTGTTCACATCCGAGCTGATCTTGGCGTACTTGAACTGGGAATACAAATACAATGTGTTAGATATTTGATTGGATATTTCAAATAATCTATTAAATACTTACCTTGTTGAGCGCATGGACATCGATTCGCGAGGCTCCGATGTCGCTGAGATCGCGCTCGGCATCGTACTTGAGATCATTGGACACCGAGATCCACAGCGCCTTCTTCCGCCCCTTCAGATAGTTCTCGTAGATGATGCCGGCGATGGTGCGACCCTTGCCCACACCGGCGCCATCTCCGATCAGGAAACCGGCGCGACTGCCATCGGGGAGCAGGTGATCGTGCGCCTGGGAGGCGTACGTAATGGACTCCAGCTGCAGGGCGCTCAGGTGGCCGCTGTTTATCGTCTCGGGCGGCAGGGAGAGCTTGTAGTAGACGTCGCACGGCTCCACGGAACTCAGCGAGGCGGTCTCCACCACGGCGTCCGGATGCTTCTTGCCCAGTTTCACTGGGGAATGGTAAAATGTCTGTTTAGTCAGGTGACTTAAATACAGAGTCCCTTAATGTAGATTGCTTTGAAATTATGCAAACTATTTTAATAAGTGAAGTCGGTTTTCTAAAGTGGTTCAAAAAATGTGTTATTGTGTTGGAGTAACAAGACCTCCAAAAAAAGATAGTTTTATTCTATTTAAACAGAGTGATTCTTTAATTAAAACCAATTTTCCATAAAACTTAAACAAAAATTTGATTTTAAGTGAAAACATAAAAATGTTATCTTTGCTTTTTAGAAAAATGTGTTCTATTTCATAAACCTTATATTTAGAAAAGATTGCAGATTCAATTTGGTTTTATAGTTTTAGAAATCAATATGGTGAAAAAATTGTATTAATATTTTCTGTTTTATTATTTAATATTGTATAATTTAATATTGTATAATTTTATACTTAATTATTATCAAATGTTATTTTGTTTAAGAAGAAAACAACTAAAATCATTTTTCCTCGTTCTACATTGTTTCTTGGCAATGTTTTACACTGCAAGAAATAGGTAATACTCACATTTGGCTGGCCAATAGTCGGCGTAGGTCTCGGCGACGCCGATCTCCTCGTAGTCGGCCTCGTCCTCCTCCTGCTGGACAACGAAGGGAGTCGCCGAGGCGTGGACAGCTGCCGCGGCAGCAGCTGCCTTGGCCGCCATGAAGCTGGGATTCACCGACTGCAGTGGCGAAGGCGTCGTCTGTGGCCGCTGCATGGACTGCATGAACAGCTGGAACACGTTGTTCGGTATCCCGCTGGTCAGGTATTCCGGGTTCATGGCGATCAGCTTCTGCACCGCCTCCATCATCGAGATGTTGCCCTTCATGCCACCAGCTCCAGCTGCTCCGCCAGCGGCTCCTGCTGCTGCTCCTCCGATTCCCGCTCCTGCTGCTCCTCCAGCTCCTCCCCCGGCTGATGTGGCCATCGGGGACTTCTGGCCACTCCCAACGACTCCGCCGGCAACCTTAAAGGGACGAATGGGCGACACTCCGCCTGCATAACTCACTGGAAGGCAAAGGGATTCGATTCGGGTTGGTTGAGGTTCAGTTCGGAGTGTTTTGTGTCGGTTGTTCATGGATAATGATGTGGTTAATTAATATGCGTGTCGTCGGAACGAGTGAGAGGGGATGTATATATACGGTTGGTTGGGTGGACATCGAATGGAAAGAGACAGAGGAACGCAGTGAATCAGTGGATCAGAGGGAGACGGGGAGAAAGAAAGAGAGAGCTTTGTTAGTTAGTTAGTAATTAACTAGGATGACACTAACTACTGGTCAGTTATGACTAGATAGCTAGAAACTAGCTAGTATCCTAGGGATATATCTAAAGTGGTTCGAGCTTACTGGGTGGAGAGTTCGAAAAACAATAAGCGAATCACATTTAAACATTTCTTAACGCTCCACTGACACACAATTCCCTTCATTAACAATCGTTAACCTTTGGTCAAAAGTGTACTTCTATTTTGCCTCGAGTTTTAAAGGAAAATGCAGAAAAGTGCTTAAAAAATAATGGTATGGAACCTCAAGTTCAGAAGTGCTGTAATCGATGCGATGGCTAAGCCATTAAAATATTATTAAATATTACAATTGGTTTATCAGTAGGTATAATATTCCCAAGTTTAGAAATACCTCAACTCCTTGTAACCCAAACAAAAAATAAGTATTATAGTTAACTTTCTACAAATTTTATATTATTCATCGATAAACAGGAACTATCGCGCGCCCACCAATTATCGGCCGGTTTGCAAGCAACTGGATGCACGTGAGTATTGATTGTGATTCAGGATTCGCCGCCAAAGTTAGCATCGCGTGGCTCATGGATATGTCCAGCGGGACTCCTCCTGATTGGGCCTTGATTCCGCGGCAAGAAGAAATTCTGGTAGTTGATATTTAGCGAGATCTGCGACTTCATCATCATGAGATTCGCTTCCAATTGGTTTCGTTCGCGGTCACTTTGAATGCGGCTTGTTGGCGATTCCAGTTCGGAGCCACTTGGCACTCCCACTTGGTAGCTTGGATTGTGGCGTCTCTGGAGCAGCAGCATCTCCCCCTCGCTCAACGATGGCCAAGTGCACTGGGGATTGTAGAAGAGGATGTCGGCGCCCAAACGAATTGGCTCGGCAGCACTTTGGTTTTGGCTCGCCCTCGAGCATCCCGGCATCTGAATGCCATTCAAACTTGGTTGACTATGCATGCTCTTCGCAATGCGATCATCCTTCTCCGCCGGACTTAATTGCTCCACTCGTTCCAACAGCTGCTGCATCATCTCCCTAATCTGGTGCAGCTCACCACTGCCATTGCCATTGCCCTCCAGCTTCGGCAGCAGTTCCTGCTCGATCACCCGCTCCAACCGCATCAGCGCCTCCGAGTGGATGGTGTAGAAGACCCTCATGCACTGGTCCACCCTCAAGCGAATCTCGTCCTGAATCTGTGGCCACATTTGCTGCAGGGCAGCAGATGCAGCAGCAGATGCAGCAGTAGATGCAGCAGCAGCTGCAGCTGTCGTACTTGCATCACCGCTATCCTCCACCACCGACGACATCTTCCTTTTCTTTGCCTTCCAGTTTACGCTGTCCATAGTTCGAAAATTTTGTTTAAATTGTTGTGGTACAAAATTTATAAACTGTTTAGCAAAATTTGGTGTAAACGATTTGTGTAAAACTAGAATTTGGCTAAAAAAATTTATATTATTGAGATACTTTTTCTATTCGATGTTACTGCCTCGAAGACTGTTTCTAAAACAAGGTTTAACCAGGCCTCCCTTCGAAAGGTCTTGGATTTGAAATCATGGGCCTACTGATTTTCAAATTTCGTACTTTTCTACATTTTTTCGGGTATGATATAAATAAAGCGAGCAATATATATTTGCTAAGTTTGTTATAATTATTTCATCTGCAATTTCTCAATGTATTGTGTCCTATCAAAACAGGTAATCAATTGTCTTATTAAATCTTAAAATTATAAACTGCAAACCGACTATTACATTACTTTCCTCTTTCCCTGTACCTTAAGTTGGCCATGACTTTTTATTGAAAAAAAAAAACCGTTTTAAAAGCACAAAATTCTACACTTTCCATTAAAACTCGTGGTTCAACCAAGCCGTTCTTCAATTTTCGACTGTGTGTCCAATCTTACCTTTGGAACTATCGATTCTAGATCGCTATTCTCCACAACCAATCACCCATTCTATATATCACACACACATGTACTATTTTTCGGTTGACAAAATGAAAGAGAGTGCATTTTTCTTGGTTGTTACCAACATTAATCGACTTACTCTGCGCCAATAAAGACGCGGCCATATTGAAATTAGCAGCAGAGGCTGAAGTGGACGCCGCCGCTCCGCCGAAGAAGTTGCCGGCGGGATTGCCGCCCGCCGGCGGACTCCTCACCGAATTGGCGGCCGTCGATGGGGGCGGAGGAGGCGGATTGCTGCTACCCTTGGCGGCCACATAGGCGGCCAGGTTCATTAGTTCGTTGGTGCTGAGGCTGTTCAAGTAGCTGCTGGTTGAACCCGCCGCGGAGCCACCACCACCGCCAATTGCACCACCGCCACCGCCGCCAGCGGAGCCAGTTGCATTGCCGCTGCTCCTGGCCGCAGGACTGCCCATGGCTAAATGGACACGGCGAACCGGAAAATCGCAAAACAAATTTCCACAACAAAGGAACAAAAAAAAAGAGGAAAAGCGCAGGAACGAAACGACAAAAAATCCACGGGAACGGTACAAGAAAAAAAATCATACAAAATGGAATTTTCGGGTAATGGATTACATTTCGGGTGGCGGAAGGATAAAAGTCGGGTAAATCCAAGAAAAGCAAGATTTTGTGTTCGAGATAAGAAATAGAGAAAGATAAAGGAAGAGAACAACACAAGCAGCATTAATTAGTGTGATCTTAGCGACTTCTAATCAGACAGTGTTGCAAACTTCTCGTTAAATCACATTTGAGACCAAACCAATTAATATACATACTACCAAGTCAAGTTGTATTTTTGTTTTAAGGGTACAATCCGTTTTTTAACAAGCTGTGTAGTTCATTTCACGTATACTGTTTAATTTCTCTTTTTCAATTTTTTAAAAGTGTTTTGAAGAATAACAACACAATGACATTGGATATTTAATTACAAGATTTTTAATCAACTGGCAAAAGCAAATTGATACCTTTCATTGTCTATATTTAAAATTTTTTAAAACAGTTCAGTTCACTAATTTATCAAATTATAATTTCACATTTTTTCGTGCGTATTAAATTACATTGTAATATAACATTTAACGCATCCATTTCTGACGAATAATTTGGGATGCATTTCTTTTAAGAATTGGCAACACTGCTGAATAAAGTTGATCAATTTTTCGCTTGTGTGTGTGTGCGTGTATGTGTGAGTTGGGTGTGCGTGTGTTAGGTTTTGTGTTTCTTATTTATTAAAATTAAAAGCACTTACCCGTTATCGTGTTGTTTAATTTCTTTGGCATATTGTTTAAATTATTCTCTACTGCTACTTTTCTGGCTATTATCGGTATCGGTGTGATCTTTCCGCCCAGTGCCACGCCCCCAACTGTCGTTGTACCGCCCACCGCTGTTGTTGTGATTATGGGGCGTACAACGGTATTGTTGCCGTTACTGCTGCTTGTGTTGTTGCTGTTGCTATTGTTGTTGCTGCTGTTGTTGTTGCTATTACCGCTGGTGATTACGTTGTTGTTATTGTTATTGTTGTTGTTAATGCGCAACAGCGATATTGGCTTGATATTGTTGTTGCTTATAACAATTTTGGCGCCACTCAGTGGTATTGGTGTACTGCCCTTGGGCGCCACGCCCACTCCGCTGCGGATATTTTGGGCGTAGGTAACAGCGGTATTCAGATCGCGACCACCACCTAAAAATAGTACAAATATGGAAAGTTTTCGATAAGTGATTTTTGCAATAAATGTACTACATGTGCATAGTAAGTTTTCTGTTTAAATATTTAAAATCTTTTCGAGAAACAAGTGATTAAACCTAATAAGAATATTATTTTAGTTAATGTCTAGTTTATATCTTTGAAGTTTTATTAATGAAACCCTTGTTACAACCTATGAAATTATTTTACTTTTGTCTTGTGATATATTTAGTGTTAGATTTATTTCCTTTGTCAATTCAAACAATGAAATCAATAAAAACACAAATATTTGTTTGCAGAAGAGTAAAAGCAAACACCACTATCAGCGACAAAAAAAAAACGTGTTTAAGATACCCAACTAGCAACAAAAAAAATAAAATGTATAAATAACACACGGTCAACGGATTTCTACGTCACTCGTTGGTCATTTTTGTTGGTGCTGGTGATTTGATTTCGAATCATTAATAGTGCCGCCTCTTCTCGGAAGCACGTGATTCCCCTTTGCGAATATTTGACGAGGCTCGTACACATTAACCTCCTCATTCCGTACCCCACTTTCTCCCCGTTTTCCTCCTCTAACTTGCTATAAATCGAAGGCCTTCGAGATTCCCCATATCCGCTGCACAAATTGCAGACGTTCCCCATCCAAAAGGCAGAGTGCCACCCTCATTTAAGGTAAATATCTAATTAATGAGCAAAGATAGGAGTACATAGGTGGACCTAAGTATGTGCAGCGCTATGTACTCGCAACGAATGCGAATGGGGGAAAGGTCATGTGGCTGAGATGGCACATAATCATAATTATATGTGCTGGAGGAACGCACACAAGGGCCGAAGATGATGATGTGCACATTTGTCTGTCCAATGTTCTGGGTGCTCGGTTCTGGTTACTGGGTACTGGGCACTGGATGTGCGGGGAAATCTTAATGCGTTAATGCCTCTAATTCCCCTCTTCGCCCAAAAAGACGAACGTCGCGCGGTCAAGATGATGGCTGCAAATCAAATTCAATGCCTCCGGAACACCGCAAAATGTGGCTGGGTTCCGATGCAGGCATTCCCACGAAAGGAGGAGCATTATGCCTGTGTACACACATGAATCAACAAATGACCAAGCCATGGACATATCCAAAAGGAATCGGAAACCATAGGAACACAGGTATGATAGTTGTATTTTTACTAGCAAATGCGTCCAGCAGACAAAAAGTCGTCAAAAAATATTAAAAAACAGCATAAAAATATCTAATTATCTTAACTTTACCACACTTTTTGCACAAATCAGCTTAATTAACTCTTTATTATATAAGCAATCAATGGAAAAGCCATTATACATATATTAAATCACTTATTTTGATTTGAAACCCCTTTCCTAAATGAAACACTTTAAACTATCCTTCACGAACGACAACAATATAATCCTCAAATTGCCAACAATTTGAAGCGTTGTTGAATTGCGATTATCAATTCCATTATTTAGTGTGGCTTTATTATTCTCACAGTTTGCACACCTGTCGGAAAACTTGGCCCTTTTCACACTCGCGAAACCTTCGAGGAAAACTACAAGTTGCTTTCTAAATAATTGACGATATTATTCAAGTTCTTCCTTTGGTTCCTTTGGTTATTTTTTCCAAGGACTTCATAACTGTGTGCGGCCTTCGATTGTTGACGGACTAATGGGGAATGGTAATCGAGTTTAATAATTTACCGCGAGATGTCCAGTCGTCGGTTAATGACGCACGGAGCCACTGGCCACCACTCCCGGACGTGTCCAACTATACTCGTATATGGCCATTTAATTGGGGGCTATGCTATGTGCAGGCGAGTCAGTCCACGCATTGACGCACAATGACGGATGTATGGGCACATATGTGCGCATAAATAATTCCCACATACGAGTAGTGCACGGTTATATATTACTTGCTATTGCTTTATATATATACTTATATACATATATGTATGTATATATATCGATATCTAGGAAATCTGAGCCTAAAAGCCTGGCACGACATCCTTCGGCCGCCTTTGGACAGGTGTGCATCCATCTCGAGTGAAATGGGGCTGGGGGTTATTTCATTAATGTTTCAGTGACTAATGCAAGTGGCCTTTTAATTAACGTTGGCTAGATAGCAATTCAATTGCACGGCCGGACTTCAAAGGACGGGCAATGGATTTGGAAGCCAAGTTGGCATAACTCATTAGGGACATTATGAAAGAGGCGCCAGAGGAAGGTTGCTTGGTGGCTCCTCAAGGCAGTCCTTTGATTTCTTGGCTGCGTATTCTTACTGATTTGTAATGTAATTTAAAACGGGGTACTTGCTGTAATTTTCGATGATTTCTTCGCGCCACCTTTCAATTTAAATCAGGAAGTTTTGGACAATAAATCAATTTTAACTGGGGGTTATTGACAAAATATGAATACGAAATTTCTCGAACAATATTTATCTTGTACTGGTCAGTTGGAATGTTTTTGGAAACTTCACTTGCTCTGTGGAGTTGATTGTAATGCCAACTGAGCGAGTTGCTGCCTGGCAACGGAATCCCACCACAACCCCAACCCAACCCAACCACCTAGTTCATTGCTTTAAAACCGATCCCTCAACCCCTTAAGTTAACCACCCGTATTCCTCCCCCTTTTCGAACAAATCCCTCCGCCCGGGAGGCCAAATAACTATCCCATAAAGTTCCAGCACGGCTCTAAAACTGCATTCAGTTCTGCAAGTAAGGCTCCAACTGCACAGCCCACTTCGCCATCTCCTCATTCCTCTTCAACAATGGAGCTACCTATAAAATTGTTGTCTAAACAATGGAGAACAGAGTGCCGTGAGAACCAATGTGCCACCCCGTTTACCCCACCACTTTTACGCCCTCACAGCCCAATTCCTTTCGAAATGAATCCACTTTTCAGCATTTATTGCGGGCGAGAATTCCATGCCCAAGCAAAAGCTTTGAGTTTGGGGCACCAAACATGATATATACAAAATGTGGACACTTACCGGGCACTTCTATTTGATCTGGATCCTCGTCATCATCGAAATCGGAGCCCGAATCGTCCTCATCAAAGTTATCATCATCGTCGTCGGCGTCCAGCAGGGTTTTGCGTTTTTTCGATGTCTGTAAACAAATCAATCAAAATCCAAACATATTGTTTTAGGGTTTCAGCAGAAAATATTTGTATTGTTAATTGAATTTCGAATTTAAAAACGAATATCACCTAACCAATCTGAAAAAATTTTAATGTCTTAGACTTAACCTTAATTTAAATAGCTGAAGCTATAACAACAAAGGAGACCAGAATTTAAATTTAATTGTTTTTAAATTAACTAAATACACGCTTTTTTTAACCTTCAAATTTGTAGAATTTAAAATTATGAGATTAATTTTTTAACACAAATTTTATATTATATTATTTTCCTTAAAATTTCTTACACTGCACTAGGAAAACTCACTACATCGCGAATAAAAATCGATATTTTCATAGTTCTTATAAATCATGAGGCTAGCACTCGAAAAAAATCCCACCTAAAATTCAAGGGGATTCACTTTAAAAAAAACACACACACACTTAGCAACACACAGCACCCACACAGAGAAACAGCGTAAGCGAAACGAAAACAAAACAGAAAAATGTGACAGAAAGACACGAAAAAAAGCGTCTATTTTCGTAGCACACTTTTGAGGGCGAGCGAAAGAGCAGGAAACTTTACCGAATGTTTAGAAAAAACGGCACAAAAAGAACGGAGAAAAAAATGCCGCGAGCATAAAAAAATAGGGGAAATCCCCGAGAGAACACAGCCACAAAAAATATCTATATATATATAAAAGCAAAGGAAGGGTCACATAAAAATGTAGAGGGGAAGCACACTCACAGAGTTTTCGGTGGAAAAACGCAGGACCAGCGGTCAGATGCTGTTCGTCGCCGGTGCGATAAGGTTCTGCCGGAACCTGGGATCCTGGGAGCCAAGAAACCTGAACACCAACCAACGGCCTAATTGTCCAGAAATAAATTACCACTATTTATAAGAGGAGAGTTCTTGGAAATTTTGCGACTGGCTCGATGCCCGTGTGGGAGCCAACTACCCAAAAACCTCGGCCGGAGTTCGAAGACCGGAGTCGAGTCGTCGAGCCACGGGCCACGGACCACTTTGGTACCCCCGAAAAGCAAACTCAAAATGGAAATTTCAGCGCCGAGCACATCCCAGCCCGGCCGGGCTGCAGTTTTTCGACGGCCAACGAGGAGGGCGAGGGGGAGGAGGAGCGGGTTAAACGGGGTTACCAGCGGGTTAAGCAGGCGCTGCTGCTGCCATTGCTATGGGTGTTATTCGGCGGCATGGGGTGGGTTTTTGGCCAACATCTCTCTATGTGTGAGGCGGTCAGGACGGCGGACGAGCCAGAACGGAGAACCGAGAACGCAGGACGCAGAACGGAGAACGGAGCACCGAGAACGTAGAACTGGGAACAGGCCGATAAACAAACGCGAGAGGCCAAACCCTTGTCACCCCCTTAAAGTTAAGGCCACAGTGGGTTAAGTACGATTCAGCATGTCCTAATTAATCACTTATTTCATTTAATAAGCGGAATCGGATCCTCAAAAAAGTAACGTATAAATTAATTTAATTTTGTGAGAACGATTTATTATCATTCATAAATAAATTTAAAACATTTTCTGTAATGTTGAGGTTGAGTTAAAGCAGATATTCATTTGGAATATGTTTAATAATATTTGCTTACTTATGAATTTATATTTAATATTTAATATTTTGTGTAAAAGTGTTCGCTAATATATATTAAAATTTATAATCTTCCAAATTATGGTTTGAATTGATACTCAAAGTAAACAGTAATATATCTCCCTCACTTGAACCACAATTGCTGTAGACCACAGTGCTCCACTTTGGCCCGGAAAAGGGGTTGGAATTTACCCGCACCCTCTGCCGTTTCACCCCGCCCCCTTCCCGTGGAAATCCAACGAAGCAGCAGGAGCAACAAAATGTTTGGCATGCAGAGATACGAAGTTTCCTCCTTTATGCGGAATATGCATGTGTTTCTGCCCTCCCCCATTGCCCCTAAAAGCCCCCGTTTCCACGGCCCTTCTCAACCCTTTCACGCACCCAGCCACCCACTCAACCCCTTTGAACAAAAGGGTTTTGGCTCGAACAGCACATGGTGAAGAAGGACGAAGGGTTGGCCAGGAAGTTGGAGATTGGAGGACAGGAGGAGCAGTACGGCAATCTGTGGCGCATGCACAGCAATTAGAGCAAGACAGACTGCTGTGGATGTAGATGTGGAAATGGATATGGATGTGGATGTGGGCATGTCCTTGGGGGAGGAAGTGGGCGGTGGACGGCGGAAGGGGGTGTTGCCGGGTCTGGTTGGCTCATTCTCGCTCGCTGGCTATATGCGTCCATATATATACACCTTGTACCTCTGTGTACTCTGGGATAAAGCAACTGCCGAGGGGGGGCTAGCCGAGTTGAGCAGAAAGGTGCAAAAAATTGTCCGAGTTGAGCAGAAACTCTTTTTTGACATAAAAAATGAACATCCGAGTTGAGCAGAAACGATTTTTGGACATAAAAAAATGAACATCCGAGTTGAGCAGAAACGATTTTTTAACATAAAAAATGAACGTCCGAGTTGAGCATAAAACCGATAACGGTAAAAAAAAAAAAACATCCGAGTTGGGCAAAATCTATGTCAGAGATGCGTCAAAATCATTACTTATTCATATAATTATTACATATTTATTATTTATTTATTTGCAAATAATTATTACTTAATAATCATATATCATATATAATTATTAAGTAATTTTTCTAAAAAAAACTAAACTAAAAACTGAAATAATAACTGAAAGTAATTTTTCTAAAAAAAAAAAACTAAACTAAAAACTTAAAAAATAAAATTTTTTTTTAAATTTAATTATTAAATTAATAATGAGTTTGTGGCATCTCTGACATTGATTTTTTATGTGGAAAAAGCGTTCATGCTCAACTCGGATGTTTTTATTTTTTTTTTTACCGTAATCGGCTTTTTGCTCAACTCGGACGTTCATTTTTTATGTTAAAAAATCGTTTCTGCTCAACTCGGATGTTCATTTTTTATGTACAAAAATCGTTTCTGCTCAATTCGGATGTTCATTTTTTATGTCCAGAAAGCGTTTCTGCTCAACTTGGAATTTTTTTTTTTACCGTAATCGGCTTTTTGCTCAACTCGGTATCGCCCGCCGAGGGACTTGAACCAAAAGCAGAGCAAACAGAACCAGCAGAGCCAAATAAAATGCAGTGAACACAGTGATGATTCGCTGGGAAGAACCTGCACTGTAGGTGCCTCAGCCAGCGAAATAAACACAAGTTTTAAAAAATCATAAACATTGTAATATATTTGAACTCAAACCATATAAAGAATAAGTAATTTTCAGAAAAGGCGCAAAGTAAAAAAAATTTGTTTATGCCATAAATATTATTAAATTTTATAAATTCGTAGCAACATTTTTTAACCATATTCAAATAACATTAAAAACAACGAAAGAAATGATAATAAACCATATTTTAAATAATTAGTTAATCATTTGATTTTAAACCATAAATTTATCTATGAAACAAATCTAGATGAATAGTAACTTATAAACTAAATCTGCCACTTTAAAAAGATTTTTTACTGTTTAATAAAAAAATATTTTAAAGGCGGATTATAAATCTTCACTAATTGAATACTCAACAGAAACATAACATTCACTTCAAAAGCGAGTCCAAACATGCAGTTTTCAACCCACACCTCCGCCTAATAATAGATTGCAACATTTTTGCTGACACACAAAATAAAATCAAAACGAATGACCTTGCAACAGGGGAAATGCTGAAAATCTTCGTCCAAAAACATGTGTTTCCATTTCACCCTTCCCCGCCCACTCACACAAAAAGCAACATCAACATGTTGTTGCCAAAAAAGAAAAAAATAGCATGGAAATAGAAGCAAAAAACCGGTCACAACATTAACCCTCAAAAAGAGGTTGGCGAATCTAAAAACAAAAACAAAAGGGGCGGATAAAAGTGCACAAAAAAGGAAATAAACAAGGCCCGAGGAAAAAAGACGTGAAAAATATTACAAAAAGGGGTGAAAATTAGCCAAAGAAAGGACCAGGGAGTTGGTAATTCAACGTTGACCAGGCCGAGGAAAATGCGAAAAGCGCAGGCGCCAAAAACACCGAATGCAGTGACCAAAGCGGAAACAACGATAAATAACACGGCTCGAAGGACCACTTACCCACACCCCAATCAGAAGACCCCAGGCTGCAGCAGCGAAAAAGCAGCGCAGCTTGTGGGAGGGGCAACTCGCATTTCCCGGGTATGCATTTCCCAGCTGCAGCTGCAATAACTGCGTAGCTACAGTAAAAACTTCCTGCCGGGGATTCCCCCAAATATGCCGTTAGGATGGTTGTGTCTGGTTCAAGCACCCACTAGAGGCTACTCACACCTCCTTGGTTGCCGTCACTGCTAAGCAACAAGTGACAAGGACAACGAGAAAAAATTACAGATTTAATAATGAATTACCCAAGAATAGTAGGGATTGTTAGTGTAGCTTACAAAAGCTATATATGGAAAATATGTATATATCCTTAAACTATATTCTAAAAACCGCCCTCCAAAAAAAAAAAACCTGTTAGCTTATATGACCTTGCCACCCCCAAACACATGTAGAATATCATATAGACTAGCACCCAAATATTTTATTCCAAAAACTTAAAACAAGTTGTATAAAAAGAAATAAGTTTTAACTTCATTTAAATTTGGCACCAAAATTTAAACTTGTAAACACAATAATACCATGAAGTTTGTTATTTAAAAATAAATTATTTCAGAAAACTTTTTAACGACTTAGTTCCCGACGCAGTAAAACTTTATATTGCTTTTAACTCACGGGAAAGAAATTAGATAAAAATAATTTAAATTTAATATATGTAAATTTATTCCATCAGTGATCTTGGAACTCAATTAGAAGTAGACTTTTTTTTAAATATTGATAAATAAGCTATAGATCAGCTACACAAATACATTAGATCGAAAAATATATGATTTATATTATGGTTTAAAAAAGTTCTGTAAAAAAGCCAAACTTTTGCCATGAAATAGTATTAGATACAATTTGGTAACCGTTCCGCCCACCGTAAAAACTCTTTAAACTATTAATTGGAAACACTTATATTATTTATGATGCACATTTTCCGCATCCCCCCGTGGTCTTAACCCACATGTTGCCCCCACCAGTCGAGTCGCATGGCCTTAACCCTAACCTAGCGCAACTTTTGTCGACTGAATTCGTTTAACTCGTGTGCGGACCAAAAAAAATATAAAAACGCCAAAGTCAAATAAGCAACGTGGGCGGAAAAGAGACGGGAACAGCGAAGAGAGAAAAGAGAGGGAGAGAAAAACACATGGTTCCAGGCCACGCGAAAATGCGAAATGAAATGCGTCCTTAGAAATATCTCGAAAACAACAACAACAAAGTGCAGCGGAAGCTGAGTGAGTGGGCGAAGAAGGGAAGTTGAGGAAGGCGGAGAAAATGGGAGGGGAGCGGAAAAAGAAAAACAACAATTATTGAATGAGTTGCCTCCGCTGCTTCTTCTTCTCCTTCTTCCGTTTCTGCAGGCGCTTTGTTTTTGTTTTATGCATGTTTAATGTGCGTGTGTGTGTGTGCGTGACAGTGCATCAGTGTGTGTGTAGGAAAGGCAAAATTTAGCAACAAAGAAATTATATTAAGTCATGCCAGCAGCGGCAACAACAAACAAACAAACTCGCTAACGACTACAAGTACAACTCTTACCATTGTGATGCTCCAATTGCTAACTGTTCTTGTTGTTGCAGTTGTTGTTTGTTAGTGTTGCTGTTTAACCACAAAAAAATAAGCAACAGACCGCCACACACACGCGTTTTTTCACTCTTTTGTTTGTTTTTCGTTTCGGCGTTTTTAAACTCTTTTTTTGGAGCTGTCAGCGGAAACAGAACGATTGTGCGGCCAGTCAGCACAAATGCAGCGAAAAAAAAACGAAAAATACTCCGCAATAAGTGTGTGTTGCGAACGCGTTAGAGACGTTGTTGCGATAGTGCTTGTTGTTGTCGAGTTGCTGCTTCACGCGGTGCCTCGCTTTGATGTTGATATTACTGTCGATGATTTCAATGTTGTTGCAACGCACGTTAACAACACTCGAAATCGGAATCAAGGAGGAAGGAAACGAGAACGAGAAGGAAGCGAGAAAGCCGAAAACACACGTAACATGCCAACTATCGCCAAGTCTTCGCAAATCCAAACTAGAGGTGAGAAAACATCAATGCATCGATGTTAAAAAAAAGTGTGGAGTCATCGATGTTTGACGGCGACTACTGATATTTTCCCACCTCTTAGAGACTAATTCGAAAACCATGGTTGGTGCCTCCGCTTGCCCTGTTTTTGTACCAGAAATGTTAAATAAAACTGAAGAGTGTAGAAAAAGAGGAAGTGCTTTGAAAATTTTTTGAAACATTACAATTCTATTACTGCTTCTGACACCGCCAAACAAAATTTGCTAGGACTAGATGACGGCATCGATAGAAAGTCGATTGTTTAGAATATCGATAGGCAACATGTCGTCAAAAGTCACTATGCGATGCACCTGCTCCGGTCAAGCTATATTTGTTGTTATGCTTTCATTTTATAGTACATACGTTCCATTTTGTAAAGCTACATTGATGTTAATTAAGAAACGTGCATGAATACCGATATCTGCAATCCCTAAGCTCTCAAAGCTAAACTATCGATATATAAGCATTGTTGAAATTTAATCTATGCAGTGGTTTTATGCAGCAAATAATTAGGGTATCTCTCGTTTTTCTAAAAAAAAAAGGTGCTTCTTAAGAAAAAACGCTGGTTTTTGATTGTGTATTTTCCCAAAGTGTTTAAGTTATCTTATCCAAGTTCAACACCTATCGGACCACGCTATTTTTCTGGAATTTTCTCCGCGCGGCTAGACGGCCACACTGCCGACCACGCTGCCGCATAATATTGCATAGCATCAAAATTGGTAAGTCTGCTTTTCCCGCTCCTAATTTCACCATCCACCGATACAGGTGCCTTTTCGTGCGATTCCAGAGCTCCCGCGTCGCTGTCCGCTGTTGTGAAAGGAACGGAACGGTAGAAAGGCCAGGAAACAGGACTTAGGACAGGATCAGGCAGGTGAAACCCGGAATTCCACGAAAACGCCGCACATTGCAATCATGCCGAACGACACGGTGGTTAAAGTGCAGGAGTACAAGGACTCGCTGATCCTCAAGGCCGAGCTGCTGATCACCAAGCGCTTCCCCGAGAAGATCGTCCAGCTGAACGAACTCCTGGCCACTTCGATGTTCAATGAGCGCAACTTCGACGAGGTTCACCAGGACCTCAACATCCCGGCCCTGCCGCCTGTCCTGGTTAAGAACCACGAGGACGGGCAGTCCGAGGACGGCGACCATCCGCCCACCAAGCGCCCGCGCAAGGACGTGATCGTTGCGGGGCAGCCTGTGCTGGCACTGCCCGCCGGCACGGTGCCCTGCAACAAGCCGCTCTGCGAGATGATCAAGGTGGTCAAGCCAATTATCAGGAAGCTGGTGGAGGATTGTAAGTTTACCCTGGGCTAGAAACCCCTTGTATGTCTCTTAAAAAAACACCACAAGTCAACTAAATAGTTTATCATTTAGTAAAAACCATAAAAACCCCCAAAGTGCTATTCACAATATTCAAAAAACAAACCTCAAGTAAGCTGTTTCCTCAGTCAAACCTCTCAAGCTGTTGTGGTCTAGAATTCCCAAGATTTAATAAAAACGCTCACCAAGCATTAAACTATTTCAATAACCCTCCTCTCATTAAGCTTTGAAATCCGCTTAAAATTAAAATTTTATTTCCCTAATTTTTTCAACACAAAAATCCCTGCCTGATTAACTGTCGAAAATCTCGTACGCACACCTAGTAATCCCTGTTCTTTCTTTCCCCGCAGCTAATCTCCTCAAGATGTGGATCTCCTTCATGATACCCAAGATCGAGGACGGCAACAACTTTGGCGTGTCCATCCAAGAGGACACGCTGGCCGAGATCCAGACGGTGGAGTCCGAGGCGGCCGCCTTCTTCGACCAGATATCGCGCTACTTCCTGTCGCGGGCCAAAGTTGTTTCCAAGGTGGCCAAGTATCCGCACATCGATGACTATAGGCGCGCCGTTGTCGAGCTGGACGAGAAGGAGTACCTCAGCCTGTGGCTCGTCGTCTGCGAGGTACGCAACCGCTACTCCTCGCTGCATGACATAGTTATTAAGAACCTCGAAAAGCTGAAGAAGCCCCGCTCCTCGAACACCGAGAGCCTCTACTAGGTATTTCCCCCCCTCCCAGCTCAAGACCCTAACGTTTTTTTTTTCCATCTTACTTTATCCTGTACAACAAAGAAAACACTACAAACACAACTAAGAAACAAACAGCCCGTAGAGCGGACAGTACGCGGTTCTAGTGGCTGGCTAGTTGCGAAGCTCAGCCCCTCATTTTTGGAAACAGAAATTGGCTTGGCTCTCAGCCATGTGAACAGAACCATTAAGAACCATTAAGCAATAGCTGTAGCTTATCAACCGACTTTCTTGATCCATTTGTACCACGTCTAGAGTATAATGTCTAGAGTGTAATGTATAGATTCCACTAATAGCTATAGCTATGCATATGAATAAATAAATCTAACGTTGCCCCGTCGTCGTCGGCTGAGGGCAAGAAAAAACAAAAAAAAAACAAAAAACGTGCTGCAAGAGTTAAAGAACAAAAGCGGTTTAAAGACATTTGCGTTTGATCGATCGACGCGATGGAGCAACTAAGAGTTTGTAATAAAAGAAAACCTTGTGACCTTTTGGCAGAGTATTAAACATTTTTGGCCTTGTTATTTTTGTCTCAAGGGACTTTAAATATACGCTTGGAGTGATTCAAAAAATTGCGCCAATAACTTCCAACGTGGAATGCTTCGATATCGATTAAAAGTCTCGCAGCAACTAGCTTTTGAGTCCAGCAACGAAAGACGAAAGCAAAATGCTACAGGTACCATGTAAATCTGCTTCCTTCATTTGTCCTCTGAACTGCTTGCTACAGCTACCATACGAAACTGCTTGTTACCTTCTGAAGCAGCTGCAACATTCAAGCATCAAACATGTTCGGTTCGAACTCCCGCCCAGCAGAAAATTTAAAACGCAGTTTCTTTAAAAAAAAGGAATCGTATATTAAATAGATACAGAAGTCTATTTACAGCTAGTACTATAGAATTTGGATTTACAACTAATTTAACTACGTCTCGACTCCATACATACATACATACAAAAACTAACATTTCTGGTCTGTTACACGATTTCAAAAAAAAAGAGTCACCTTAAATTAGTTGACCGAAAAAAAGGCGAAAGTTAAACATACATTTGTAGTTAAGATAGGCTTGTCGGTGTTTGCTAAATTCTGTTGCTCTTGGATTATTTATAGCTAGGCATTAAGTTTGTGCTAATACTTTCGTTTTAATTTGTTTTTAAGACGTGTCCAGTGCATTGGAATTACGGTTCGATTTCGAGGCACTTCTGTTTTGTTGTTAATGGCAGTGTTTCACTTTTGTATGCTATATTCGGAATTTTCGCATCGCTCTTTTTAGCTTAGCCTAACTTAGGCTTAAATCTATATATGACAATGAACATTTTTACACAGATAATCAACTTTTGGGTGCTTAGCTAATTCTTAGACTAAAGCTCAGTACTGACATCGGCTAAATATATCGGCGACTGAATCTGAATACTTTCCAACTACATTTTTTTTGTTAGCGATTTCTTCTTTCATTTTTGTTGTAACTCTAGATCTTATATAACTTGTATATTTTTTTTTCAATTTTATGTTATATTTTTATCTAAATTCCCTAGAGGTTTTTAAGCACCATTTTAAGTATGACTGTTTCGAAGCAATATTATTCGATTTTGAAACCAGATTAAGTGTTTCAAGTTCGGAGAACTTTTGTATTTAATTTAGTTGTTTTTTATTTTTAGGTATGTCTTTATATCTGGAAAGCCTAGAACCAATTGCAACCAACCTACATCATTTTACATAATGTACGTATGATGGCTTTATTTGTTTTTTTAGGAAATAAATAACTTTTTTTGAAAGGAACTAGAAAAAGTACAAAAAAATTTATATTCTCGAAGGATTTAGTAATTTACTGGACCTTATTGGCTAGCCAGTAGCTTTAGCCGATGTCAGTGACTGGACTCGAAGGCCACCACTCCGATTTGGCCGCATCCACCGAACTGAACTTAGCCTGCTGCATTAAGTAAACGAAATGGCACATTGAACCACAACCCACTTGGTCCAGTTGACCCTTCTAGAACCCCCTCTTGACCCATCCAGGATCACATGTGGTGACCCCACCAGGCGGCGCTGGCCTGGTAGTAGCCATCGTGTCCCCAGCCGAGGATGCTGAGCGGTGGCGGCGGCGGCGTCAGCGAAAGCACATCTATATCACTGCCACAGCCATTGTTGTTGTTATTGTTGTTACTATGATCGCGGGACTTGCCGGCGGACTTCCGCCAGCCGTGACGCGGCGGAAGCGGCAGAAGCGGCAGCTTTAGACGGCGTCGACGCCTCCGACGGCGCACCAGATCCCAGCCGACGGTGCCCTCTTGTTAGAAAACATGATGCGAATTCTTCGCCGGCGCCAGGAAGGGCTTCTCCTCGTTCATCTTCTCCAGATTGCCGCTGAGCGTCGGGTCCGTCGGCCGGATGCGCTTGAAGAAGCCGCACTTCCACAGCAGGTAGGTGAACAGCGCCAGCAGGAGCAGGCCGCCCACGATGCCCAGGATGATGATCAGCCAGGGGATCGAGGTGTCGCGCTGCTGGTTGCGCAGCTCCGGATACGCACGCGTCTCCACCTGAAGTATAAAATAAATTAGAATATATGTATGTTCCCAGAACCCTTAGAACTTTAGAGCTCAAAGAGAGATATCTGTGATACCTCCTGTAATTTAGTATACAATATTTTGAGACCCTCACCTCTATGTTGTTGAGCTCCATCTTCTCGACGCCGTAGTCCTCGGGAATCTGCGCGGTGGCCGTGGAGAAGATCCTGACCCGCTCGACGCGCGGATACTCGCTGACCAGCGTGGAGTTCCAGAGACGCGCCTTGACCACCACCTGCGCCTCCGAGGAGGCGGGCATGTTGAAGATCTCGCACTCGATGCGCACGCAGTTCGCGGTGCCCTTGTTGCAGTCCAGCTCGACGATGTCCTGCTTCTTGCCACTCTGTGCCGCACTGCTGCCCTCCGAGTCGTACATGAGTCGCTCCAGCCGAGTGACTCGCTCGAGGAAGCCCCGCCTCACTCGGTTCCGGGCTGCCTGCGCTGCTTGGGATGCTTCGGTGGCCTGATCACCGCGATCCCCGCTGGAGAAGTAGCTCCTCTGCGAGTGGACGAGGCTCTTGTTGAAGGACATGTGCCGCGACTGCGAGGGGAACATCCGCATCTGCGCCGGGGCATTCAGGTAGGCAGCCACAGTATCCCGCGAACCGCTTGCCAGCTTCAGGGGATTCACAAACTCCGGCGCCACGTGGCATTCGCCCTGGCTAACTTCCACCGTGGGCACTTGCTCCAGGTACAGTAGATACTGCACCGGCCGCCCGCTCTGGGGATCACTGTACAGTGTCAACGGCCAGTGGATGGTCATCTTCACCTTCGGCGCCGTCGAGGGGCCCTCATTGAAGATGGTGAAGCTGTGATGGACCTGCGATCCCACATCGTCCATTCCCATGGGTCCGTGGGTCTCCACATCCGCAATGGCAGTGCTTTCCGGCGCTCCCTTCTCGCTGGCTCCACTGTAGAAGCTCTGCTCCGGCATCGCCCAGCCGCGGAAGTGGAGCTTCGCCCGCCGAACCACCTTGATGAGGAGATCCCTTTCGGGCCGCTCGCGTCCCACCAGCTTCGAGGTGGTATTGGCGAAGATGTGGAACAGCATGGACTTCTCACTGGGCTCCAAGCTCTTGGGCTGGAAGCGAATGGTCACGAAGGTGGTGGTGCCACGCAGCATCGGATTTCCCAGACTGCAGGCCACCAAAGTGGTGTTGAAACTGTTGCACGTGGCATTCGTCTGCGGGGGAATCCAAATAAAATATGGAAATGGATTGAAAAGGTATTAAAGGATTCCAGGAAATACCTACCGGTTTCTTGGTGGCCACGTAGGAAACTCCCGCTTGGTGGGAAATGAACAACTGCGCTTCGTAAGCGGAATCCGCCAAATTGCTGACATCAATGCGCACCTCCAACTCCGTTTCATCCAGGATCAAAATGTACTCGTTGGCTAAAAAATATGATAAAGAGGATAAAAGTAGGAGAATAATTGATTAATTCGTATTATAATTATAATTATTTAAATAGTTATTAAAAATAAATTAATTAGGTTTATGGCAACATAATCCATATGTAAATAGAATTGAATTACCAGGCGAACAGAAGAGAATAGTAGGGCGTTACTCATAATTTTTTAAAATTTTAAATCATCACAAATGTAGGCAACAATTTAAATGAAATATGTTGAATTTTGTTGGCCACCTACTACTGTTTTCTGTTCGCCTGGTACTTCAAAATGGAATTAGGCGAACAGAATGCAATAGAAGGTAGCCATTGAACAAATTTTAAAAATATTATTAAATATTAAATATACATTTTACTGCAAATATGTGGCATTCTTATAGAGGTGGCCACCTACTATAATATTCTGTTCGCCTGGTACTTCAAAATGGGAAAAGGCTGAAAAACTTCGGTTTAATTTACCTGATGATTTGGTGATGTTCGGCTCCGCCCGGATGACCAAATTGCTCTCGCACAAGTCGTCGTCGCCGCAATCCTTCTGGAAAGTGCCCTCGAAATCGATGTGCGCCTGGGTTTGATCCAGTATGGGATTCAATCGCACTAGAGCCGATTCCGCGAGGGGAGGTTCCTCCAGCGAATACTTCAAACGGAAGCGAACCGGCGTCTGAATGTCCCTGGTGTTGGCTTTGATGTAACCCGTGACCGACTGACAGGCGGTCTTGCCATCCGTCTGCACTCTGACCACTCGGCTGAGGACGTTGCTCCGCTTGTTCTCCTTGTCGAAGAAGAACACCCTGGAGAACTTCTTCAGATGGTCGAAGGTCTCCGCCTCGACGCCGTAGGCCAAACGGAGTTCCTTGCTCTTCTCGTCGTAGGGATCGATGCTGCAGCAGGCCTGGAAGGTGAAGCAGGTGAGATTGCTGGCGGGATCCGCTCGACAGCCCGGCTGATTGGGATCCATGTTGCGCAGCTCCTCTCCCCCTGACATTCGTCTGGATGTTGATGATGGGTCTGGCCAGCAGGATCACAGCCGCCGAGGAGTTGAAGGCCCCGATCACCACATCCGGATAGGAGTTGTCATCCAGGTCGGTGTTCCCAGAAATCGAGATGCCGAAAGTGCGAATGGGTTGACCCGTTGGCACAACGCCTCCCAGTTCCGAGGCTTGAATCCTCTGGGCGGGTTTTGGATTCAATCCCTGCCGGGAACCCAAATAGATATAAACCACACCATTTCCCTCGTAGGGAGCTCCCACTGCCAAATCCTCGCAGTTGTCCTTGTTCAGATCCCCAATGTTGGCCAACGCCAATCCAAAGCGACTCTCCAGTGCTCCGGTTAACTTCAGCGTGTACTTCAATGGCAACGTATCCCTGTCGTTCTGGTAGACATAGACCGCTCCTCCCTCCGATTTATTGAAGTACAAAGGAGCTGCCACAATTAAGTCCGGCCGATGATCGCCGTTCACATCCACGGTGGCCAGTTCGTAGCCAAAGCTCGATCCGAACTGCTCGCCATCCAAAATGGAGTGAACGGGAATCGGATTGTCGTTGGACTTGTCGAAGATCACCACCTGTCCGTGTCCCTTGGAGCGAGGAGCTCCTGCCGCGTAGGACATCTGGCCGAAGAACCTGCCGCCGGTCACCGACATTCCCAGGTAACTGTACTTGTCCACCGGCGAACTGCTGTCCGAGTGATCACTGTAGTAGGTCGTCTTGTCGCGCTGCAGGTACTCCCCGCCCACCTGGGTCACCCAGATGGATCCCCGCCAGGTGTACGGCCCCGGGGAGCCCAGCACCATGGTGTCGTCATCGAGGAGGGCAGCCGAGGTTCCCGCCTGGCAGAGTCCATAGTCCTCGTGTTGCCTGCGGATTGAAACAAATGGGAAGGAGAAGGTTTTACTACTATATGTCCTAATTAATCTGTTTCCCTAACGTATTCCCACCTGATCCTATTGCAATTAATCATTTTTCCTAACCAAACGCCACTTAATCATTAGAACAATGATAATTGAGAGATCAAATGAGATACAATTTGACTTCCCGATCGATAAATCAAACCTTACAAATTCATTATTGCGAAGGATACTAAGTAGTTTATGTTTATTTTGCCCATTAAAAATATTCCCTGTGTCATTATAAGCCATGTATTAATTTAATATTCCAATAACAACAATATGAATAGATCTGTAAAATATAGTTTGATTTATTTTATAATGTACAATATTATTACCATGTTTTTTTTTATTAAATGGATTATGACTCCATTATAATTATATCTGAATTAACCTCTAGCTACATATCCAGTTTTTATCTGCATTTTATTTCCTAATTGCAGTTCCAGTTTAAACCTGATTTATGATGGTCGTCTGGCAAAGCTACTGCGTCCAAGGACATGGACTTGGTCATCTCCATTTGACTTATTACCCGTGGCTTATCCTATTCCCGAATCGGGACATTAATAGATGGCCATGGCCAGCAGGAGGACTCCTTTGGGTTCGCGTACAGTATCTCTATTTCCCGGCCATTTGTCTATTCCCGAATGGAGTTGTGCCGCGGACATTAATGGATGACCAGGGTCAACATTTGCCTGTTGACCGCCCAATTTCCCACTGTTTTCTGCACCGCTTCCAAGCTATTTGTTGCCCCCTTCCTTTTTTTTTACACCCCACCCATGCTGAGAATCGAGTTTGAGCACGCGAGTTTTCAGCTCGATGAAAAATTGCATATTCAGAATGATGACAGGTCCTTTGAACCGACGGTTTCCCAACCGCTCCTTGATTTCGGTCATCGTGTGGGTGCGGAGTGCCACCAAGCACCCATCTCATCCCCCCTCACACCCCCTTTCCACCCCCCTCACCTGCGCTCCTGTCATTTAAATAAATTAAATTTCACCTTTATGAGTGTGCGTTTTTTTAGCCTGCAACGACGTCATCGGTGTCACACTTGAAGTGACCCTGCCCCAAAAACTGGTAACCCCTCTCCACTCCTCATCCCCTCTCCACCCCCCTCTACACCCCTCACATATTACCACACACACACAGACACACTCTGCATGCTAATTGGGCGAAACACCCCCGCATTTTTCATCGGCGGAGATAATTCACCTTGACACTTTTCCCTCTTGTTTTCCCTGCCAGGAATTAAAAACGAAACAAACAACTGACCCTTGTCAACTGGAAGGAAAGTGGGGTTGGGGTGTTATGATTGCCCCAGCCCACAATAGATTACCCGATCAATGGAGATAGCGTTGGCGATGACCTACGACAACCCGAAAGTAATTCACCGCACGAGAACAATAGAACCACGTTTTCTTTGGGATTTTTGTTTGATAAAATATTTATGGAATGGTCATTGAGTTTCCAAAGTAAAATAATTAATTTGATTTATTTATTGGCACTTTTTTCCTTATATGTTTTCGGGTCTAAATTAAAACAAATATTGCTCATTGAGGTTGTTCGAGTGATGAGCAATAATCAAATTATTATTCAGTCTTCCGCTTCTTAAATTGTTTTGCGTTCCAGGAATTGTTCAAGTGTTCGTTCTTCAATAATTTATTTTCTTTAAATGTGCCAATGATTCGTGAAATAAAATGTTCGAGTTCTTGTGGTAAATATAATAATATTCATTTGTATCTTAGAGCTGAACGGAAAGCTCTGTTTGAGGTAATCAGTTAAAAATACACTTCCATAAAAAGTTTTCAGGATCAGGAATGTTACTAAAAGCACTTACCTTTGAACAGGTCGTCCTTTGCAGGGTTCGTGCACCTCTTCGAATTGCAGATCGTTTGTGAGTAGATAGCAGAGTCCTTGGCCATAACGATTTTCCCGAACGATGTACATATAGCGATGGGCGCAGACGATCACCTGAAGGGGTAAAATGTTAATTTTAGATATCTGAAGTAAGATTATGATATAAAAAATATTGAATAATTAAGGTGTCAGATAAATATAGAATGATCTGACTAAGAAATTCAGTTATTATACAACAGTGTGATTTTATATTTAATTTATTTGATATTTTTAAAAAATAAAAAAAAATTAACTAAAGTATAATCCAATAGACCTCAATTATCTATCTTTCAATTATGTTATTTTCATTAAAACCTTATCCCTAATGATGATGTTTTATAATCTTATCTTACTCGGTTCGTAAGATCCCTGTAAGTGTCTTATTTTTTTTGGGTTGACAACTATGTTCAACTTACCTTTCCGCCGGATCCGTTGGCCTGCAGGGGATTCGATCGGACCGTAACGCCCATCCACTGGTCCTCCTTGATTTCATCGTTTCCGGGTGGTGAAAGGATTTCGCTGTCGAAAGCTGATCGAAGAACGGAGAATGGAACGGAGAATTCGGAGATTGTGGGAGAAAGAGAGAAAGTGCAGAGAAAAATACCAATGTTATCGATTGCCAATAAAAGAGTTGCAAAGTGTGAAAGTGTGTGTGATTGTGTCTTTGTATGCGTTTTGTGTACAAGTGTTTATGTGTGTGTGTGTGTGTGTGCATGTCAGCAACAACAACAGTAATAATAATAATATAACATCAACAACAACAACAATAACAGTAACGGTAATGATAATTAATAACTTTAAGTAACTAAGAGTAGTATGCATTATCAACAGTATGTGTATATTTATGTGGTAAAAACAACAATAGTCATTCACAAATTTACATACGTACATACATATATGTACAACAGGGTGGACCTTAGTTTTGTTTAATATTTTCGGTTTATGCATAGTTCTTGGAAGTGTATCCCATTTGTGGTCATCGAATTAGTAATATTTCCAAAAGAATTGTTTGAGATTTATTGCGCATACGCAATGTGAACCATTTTTTTACTTTCAATTTGAAAACGTTTAAGATATGAAAGTCACTGTGATTTTAGTCAGAACATATTTATGCTTAAATTCAAAATTGTTGTTTACTTGGTTTAAACGGATATTCTGCTAATATACTTATTTAGGGTTATGTGTTTATATAATGAATATTTATGGGAAAAGACGATTTGGGGAAATATAATATAGATATATATATGAATATGAACAAATGGTAAAAATTATTGTAACGAATTTTTTATTTAAATATGAACTATGTATTTAAATGATTAACTTTTTATTTAAATAAGATGATGATAACTTATAATTTGTAACGTTTTATTTTTAACACTTAAATTAAAGATTATGCCAATTTAAGAGTATATACAGGTCCACCCCAATGTCCAATTCAATCCGTCTGGAAATCGAAATAAAAAAGCGGTAAAATGCAGATTCCAACCGACTTGGAACTCCAAACAATTCAATTATTTACAGCTGATTTTCGGGCAACATGTTTTTTGATTATTTTCTTTCTTTTTTTATAACGCTGTCGGCATGTTGCACAAAGAGGAAAGGAGAGGTGGCAAAAGAGTGGAGAGGGGGGAAAACAAAAAATTGTTGATTAAACGAAGCATGAAACGAAGCAAAAGATCGGAAAAACAAAAATGGAAAGCGCAGCCGCGAAAGAGAGAGAGCCGAACGAAATTGATTTAGAATGCATTTTAAAGCATCAAAGTGTTGAAATATGATAAATGATTATTACACTTGCAACCAACTTAGGGAAAGGGGAAAGGGGGAGTTGCAGTGCACAGAGAAAATAAGTAGCTATTTTTAGATCCATCAATACACTTTCGAAATGAGTTTTTCGCTCAATAAAATATGTTCCTTGAAATTTATATTGAATCTAACAAGTGGTTAAAGAATTCAAACTCCTAAATAGACTTAATTATTATCTCAACAAGGGTTAAAAAATATTTTCTTTCCGATTTATTTAAAGAGAAAGATTGTCAATCACTTGAACTTCTAAAACTATGTTTTTAATTTCCACAATATGAAATGTATATTACATATTCATATTATTATTACCAACTGAAATTTAATCAAAATTTCTTTCACTGTACCGTTTTCTTTTCGGTTTTTGTTTGGTTGCCTGGAGCGTGGGCCGTTCTTGACGGGTTTGACGCGTTTTAAAACGCGCCCGGCTGTCGCGTCTGCGCAGTGAAAGTCGCGCAGCTGGAACAACCGCCCACTGCCCCGCCCCCTTTCCGCCTTTCCGCTCTGCAATTTCCCCCTTTTTCGCTCTGCAATTTCCCCTCGTCTCTACGCTTTTGACATTGGACCAAGTCGAAAAAGAATTCAGATTTCTGAAGGTAAGGCGGCAGAAAAGCGATAATGTTGAATGTGCAGTAATGCAAACCGAACCCCACCCAAAAACCACAACCCCCTTTTTCGCCCACCGAAAATTCCGAGCTATTTTCGCTCAAGAATTCGCATATGCGCCGTATTTTTTACAATTTGCAGTTATTTTTATGCCTTTGCAAACATTGGTTTTGCCTTTCATTCCTACACGGCGGAAAACAGCAAAATTAGCATATAAAATAGTTTTGTAAATTTGTACAGATTTCTGGGATTTTCTAAAACATCTTAAAAAATTCAAAGTGAACTCAATAAGATTTGGATTAATTTTCAGCCGAAAAGTGTTGAATTGGGATGGTTAGAAATGGGTTCAAACTCTTTAGTGACGAGAAAAATTGTTGAAATGATCTCAAATTTGTTCTCTGTGTAGCAGTTGTTCTGCATTCCGTTTAAGTTTTTTTTTTCTGTGCTCATAGTTTGAGAAATTTGTCACGTTCTGGGGCGGCGTCGTTGGCAAAGCCCACTTCTTCGGTTTTTTCTTTTAGAATTTTTAGGTTTTTTTTTTAAGTTTCTTCTTCTTGAAACTGCCACGCTCTGATTGCCAACAGAACGAAGAAGAAGAAGAACTGGAGGAAGAACAAGAAGCGGCAGAAGAAACCCGGTCACAGTGGCGTTGAAAAAAAATGCAGACGACCCAGTTGCATGTTAACACTAAAGCGACAGAGGGGGTCATAAGTACCCAGCAGGGCAAACGATCAAATGGATCTGCATACGAGCGAAAACAGCGAAGAAATCCGAATTTATCATACCCATTTATCAGATATAATAAGTGATAAAACCTTAACTAAATTATTCACAAGAAAGTAATTGTATAGCTGGACTGCAACACATTTAAAGATCACGTTTAATTGCTACTTTTTATGACAAGAAGATCTAAAAGCTTAATAGAACGCCATCAAAAACACAAAAAAATAAATTGACCTACCCGATAACTTAAAGATTTTATGCCACCTATATATAGTACATAAAACATAGTTAGTTAGCTAGTTTTGGTTACATTTTGTTTACCAGTTAAATGTAAACTATTCTTAGCTATGGTACATAAATATCAAACGATGTCATTTATAATGTCACTCCATTGCGAATTTCTCGAAAAACATATGACACCCTCTAAAAAGGGTGTTAAATAAGAGAAGCAGCTGCAAAAGCTATATAATTAGCGCTAAATGAGTCGCCAATTGAAGCCGCCGAAAATGTGAAGCCACGTTTATGGGTCTTTGGGATTTTCCCCTCTCATTTTTGAGTGAAAATTCCGAGAATCAGTTGGGGCATGCTAAAGGAAATGGTTAACATGTGACGCCGATAATGAAGTTGTCGCTGTAATCGAAGCGTGCAAAGGCCCTCAACAAATTAAGAAACACTTTTGTATACTTGCTTCGAAAATATTTTAAGCTTAACTGAGTAATGAGAGCAATTCTGGCAATTAGACTTATATTTTTAAAAAACTTGATAGAGCAAGCAGATGTGTTTGTTATACAAGTTACGTTTTGGGTATATCAAAAGCATCTTGACCTTTCCTATGTTTTAGCCACTAAATAGCTTTCAAAATCCAAGAAGACACGTATTTCATAATTTTACTTTGTTGATTGTATCGATTAAATAACATCAGCTATCGGATCGTAATACTTATCAATAAGAACTAAGTTCAAACTTAATGGACCCTCAAGTTCCATTGATTAACAGAAGGTATTTCAAAAGCCTGATAAAGATTACTTCATATAAGCAATTTTTATTTTACAAGATAGTGATTAAAACAGAATTGTTTTCGATTGTAATTTTTGTAATAAAGATCACTTTCTTTATGACTAGTGATATGTGCTTTTTCGGTTAGGTGAGCAATAAATGGCAACTTAATATAATAGTTAGGCATAAGATATATTTAAACATTGTATTTGTACAGCCATAAGTGTAATTTTAGCTAGGCTTTATTGGTATATTATATCTGATTGCAATTAGTGCGCGCATGCGTGGCAGGTCAGTAAAAGTAACAGTAAAAGTAAGAGCGAGAGGGAGGAGAGAGAGAGGTAAGCAAGATGGCGGCCATAGGCATGCGTGCGTGACTGTACATTCGGTGATCGCAGATATTCAAGATTTGCACAAGTTACATATTGTATTTACAAGCGATTTAATTACTTTTTGAATAAGAGAGATGGGTGCACTGAATCGAAAATATGATTAATGCCGGGGTTAATTCAACGGAAAATCAAACCATAAGTGAACGAATCAAAGCGCAAACCAAAGGAATGAATACTGATTACGGCATACTGGTTATATATATATATATGTATATATTTATAGGTCGATCGAATACTGAATGTGTGTTAGCGGTTGCAATGAGATGCGCGATCCTTAATCGGGAATCGGGTAATTGGGATCGGTTTTTGGTGGGCAAGACAACAATTAAAGCACCCAAAACCACTTACGCTTATTAATCTCATATGCTCCGTTCGCTAAGGGATTCGTTCGTTCGATTTATCGAATGGCAAATATCGAAAAGATTTGTCAGTATTTTTTTTGTGGGCAGTTTGGAGTTGGTTTGGGTTAGGATTTCAGGTTGTGGTTGAGGCAGAGACACAATGAATTTCCCAGTTATGCGCACCGAATACGAATTTCAATTTTGGCGGAACCAAATGGGTAAAGGGGAAGAGAACGAAAAATAAAAAACATAAGAAAGAAAAAAGAGAAAGAAAGATCAAAATAATTAAAAATTAAAGTAAATGTAGTATTCGATATTTGTATTTGTGGTTTATATTGACTAAGATGCTAGGACAAAAATTGGATATCTATACAATAGGAACTAGAGGATAATACGAGTATTATTATAATGGGTGCTCATCATGTGAACGAACGATTCAAGAACTTATCGCTTGCTTAGTTAATCGTACGATTCAGCAAATGATCGATAAAAACGATTGATCAATTAATCGAGAATTGATGATACCAATTGTAATTCGCCTGATTCATTTAGAATAAGAGAAATTTTGACATCCAATGAGTTATCGATTTAATCGCCTGCAATGTCGTTTAGATATCGATTACAGCATTCTTTCCTACTTAAAATAAGAAAAACAAAAGATTTTTGTTTAAATGTTAGACAAATTTAGTCACACATCTTTGTACAGCATTTGGCAATAGTTTATGTACAACTCGCAGACTTAATCAGGATCCAAAATCAATATTGGGGTAAACTGAAAAATGCGAATCGGTTAGCTGGAATGAAGATTGGCTTGGCCCGGTTGACCCTTGAACCTTGGCACTCCGGTTAGTCACTTGGCAGTCGGGAGCGGGATTCAGGATTAGCGGGGTTACCAAAACGACCGGACAAACTACGACTATACATAACTAGGTAAGATATCTATTAAGGCAGATAAATGTATTTATAACTAGGACTGGCGCAAACCAATCAACCTCCACCAATGGACAGATGTAGATACAGGCTTGGAGTGGAAAATAAAGGGGGTACAGATACCAAAGCTGGGTTAGGAGTTATCGACTATCTTGGGATTATATACGTACGATCTAATCTTTCTTGGACTCAAATTAAAAACTAAGAACCTATAAACTTAAGATGTGAATTGATATATATTTTTTTAAATGTATGGCTGGAGATCCTAGTTAGTTTAGGTATATCGTAGACAGGATTTACTTACATCGCCTGCCATCGGTGATCACTTGTTCGCAGTCATCGAAACTCTGGGTCATCGGACACCGCCAGAGGGCGCCAGAGTGCGAGGTGTTCGGCTGTCGATTTTGATCCAATGGAGCTCCCACTAAAATACTGTAAAAAAAGGAATTTATTTTAAAATATTTCTTTATATATTTAAGATTGTAGAAAAATGTCCTAATACGGTATGAAAACATTAATAGTACTTTATAACCTCATAAAATTATATAAGATATTTCTCAACCAAACTTATTATATATTCATATGAGCTCTACTTATCAATGCCAAATGTTGTGTACTTTTACACCTAAATGTTATTTTTGATAATACCTCAAATATTCCGTTTAGGCAACATTTTGTATACTTTGACACCAGAGTGATATTTTCGATTTCCGCTAAAAATTCAAAAATTACAGAATTTAAATACAAAACACCTGCGGTTTTTAATGTGCACCTATAATATTTGACTTGACATGTTGGTAAGCCGAGCCAACCGCAAAATCCGACCAAGACAACCGATCTGCGATCTGCGGTCAGTCACACCTCAGATCGGTTGGGTTATAACCCATTATATAGCCGTGGACAGTCACTAATTGCAGGCCGTCACTTTGGCTCCGAATGGAAATCGATTTGTAGGTGGGTTCAAGTCAGATTCAGCGACAATTGCGACTTGGTTCAATGCACTTTGGGTTTTTATTCGGGGCTTGGCCCTGCCGAAATGTAATTACTGCGGGAAAAACTCGTGTGCAGTGGGTGGTTGCACATTGGTGAGGGGTTAGCGGGGGGATTTTTAGGGACCTGGGTGCGTCTGCACGAAAGATTTCGCTAATGAGCAGTCAAATTGCCAAGGAGCAGCGAAAAACCCAGCAGGATATGTCGAAATACGGTGGCAAAACAGGGGGCAGTGATATACAGTTTAATGGCTTCTAAAAGTCTACACTGGGAATATTTTCTAAAAAAATGGTGCATTAAAATTAAAACAAAAAAGTGCCAAACTAATTGAATAGGAAACAGGAGAAATTAAACAAGAAATGGAAATAAGTAGTTAGAAAGCAAATAAAAGGTAAAGAGAATAAATTTAAACATAAACTATGAAAAAAGATAGAAATGCATGTGTATTTAATAAGTAGTCTTAAAGAAAAGAAAATATAAACCAGCTAATTAAAATAAATTAAATCTTTGGCTTGCTAACAAAGCAAAGTTTGACTCAAAGGTGTTAAAAGATTTTCAGTTCCCTTGAAAATGAGCAAATAAAAGTTATGCTAGGGAAATGCCAAAGTAAGTCTAATTGCCGCTGCATGAAATGCACGAGAAGAAAGACATTTCTTTGGCGCAAAACATGGCCAAAAGGCAGTGGAATCATGGGAGAGAAGCACGCTAAATGGCAACAAAGTAGGGCCGGCAAAAAGGGGGCGGCTAAATTGCAAAAAAGCTGAAATAACCGCCGAAACAAAAACAAAAAGAAAAACACCCACGTTCGCTCGCTTAACGTGTTTAACATGAATGTTCATTATCCTGCAGCCGTAAGCTCAGCCATAACCCACAGCAACGTGCAACAACAACAACATCAGTAACTTGCAACAACAACAACAACAGCATGCAACAACTGCCACAGCAACAACCAACGGCAAACTTTTGCGACAACAACAGCTGAAATTGCATGTACGACAACCACAAAACACGAAGGCGAGGAGTGGGTTTATGGCGGCCATTAAGTGGCACCTACACCTACACACGCCACACACACACACACACACAAACAAACACACCGCACAACAAACCTCCTTGCACTGGGAAAAATCAACGATTTAGTTATGCAAATTTAAATTTATTTAGAAAATAAAGGTAGTACTTAAACGAATTTTGTGAAGTCATAAGCAGCATTGAAATTTAATATATTTATAAAAAGCTTTATGAAAAATATAAAAATATATTAAAACCCTTAAAATATTAAAATTAAATAAGAAGCGGTGTGCTTTGAACCCTGACCCTTTGTTAAAAAAAATGTATTTTATTCTTTTGCCATTTTCTACTATTTTCTAATAACTGCAAAGAACATTTTATTTCTTCTCTAATTTCTACTTATTCTCTCTTTGTTTCCACAAACAAACTTTAATCAAATTCAACACTCTTAGCGTTTTGTTTTCAGTGCATCAAACCTCAGCTATCCAGCGTCACAGCAGCAAAATCAACAGCAAAAGCCAAGAAAAATCGAAAATAAAAGAAATCTTTAAGTGGCCAAAGGCGAAACTGGTGGCCAAATTGCCCATGGGGATGTGGGTGAGGGAGGGGGGAACCAGTGGTGGTGGTGCTGGGAGTGGTGGGTGTAGGTGGTGCAAAAAAAAAAACGAAAAGGAGAAGGAGAAGGAGCAACTTATGGGCGTGCTTCAACTTATCGCTTTTGTCGCCTCACAATTGACACATTTGTCGGTTTGGGGGTCTTAAAAATCCAAACATCCAATGAAGGGCTTACTGAAGTTCACGACCCCAAGGAGTTGTAAAAATAAGCACATAAACATACAAAGGACTTCTTGTATGAAGTCAGAAATAAAAAATATCAAACGGAGTTATTACGGAGTTACTAATTAAGTATGGCTTAAATAATTGTTGGAGTAATAAAATAAAATAAGTATTGCTCAATAATTAAGCTGTTTAAATAATTAAATAATATAAGTTTCTCACTTTACAATAGATATTTTTTCTTGAGCTTTTTTGGATTGAGAATGTATAACACATATAAATTTAAATTAACACGCATCTTTAGAAAAGAGATTTATACAAATGATAACAGATCTCTTAGAGTTAAGTAATGTTAGCTATAAATTGAACTATAAATTCCATTTAGTTAAGGGTTTTGATAGACATTCAATCTGATAGACAAGGGTTTTATAGACCACTTAAGAGTTTTATTGCTTAACTCAATCAGAATTGTTTGTGGAACGAAGAGTGGCATACAAGTGACATTGTTTTAAATAAAATGTATTTATAAAATTTATGTAGATTTAAATTAAATTTATTTTTATATTGTAAAAAAGATATTCCAAGATATTTTTCAATTTAAATGATGCAACTTCCGTTTGGACAATCTAAGTGTTATGTTTTACTCTGAAAAACGAAGAACCTGTTCGCCGTGAACTTCAACTTCAACTCGAAATCGGAGCCACAAATGAGGCAAGAAAACTAGATCAAGACCCAGTCGGAGTTTTTTGGGCCAAGTTAACCTGCTCTCTTCGCCGCTTCCCATATTTTTTCACGTGTTTGTCTTCGTGGTCATTAACGCTGACACTCGGATTGCAACAGACTGAAAACTGAAGACGGAAGACTGAAGACTGAAGAAGACCTTAAGTCCAAATCCACCGACCTGACCTGACCCTTGCCACATTTTCGTCGGTTTTTATGGCCGGCTTTGCTTTTGACCCGGTCCAATGTCCCTCGTTTTTTTTTTTTTTTTGTTGCTTATTTGGACTGCTGCTGCGGATGCTCATTTAGCAGGTGCCTGCATTTTCCCGAGGTGTTTTCCAACAACTTGCCCGGGGAAATAAAATACAAGTCACATAAATCTGGTCACCAAACGCCGCTGGCCGTAAATCTTTTGACATGGCCCGAAGTCCATAAAACTGGCCTAATGATCTAGCTGGAATTTCGTGGATTTCGTGGAGAAAAGGAAAGTGGGCGGTGGACTTCGAAAAGGCAGCTATTTGATTTTTGGTTGGGCCTGCTCGGCGATTCTGGAGCGAGCTCGTTTTATGGCACTTGCCACTTAGCTTATCAATTAGCGGGGAAGTGACGGGTGAATCGGGGTGCCAAGGGAGCCTCAGATGGGGATTGATCCCCCAATTATCGTAGAACTGATCAGATCAAAATACAGCGAGAAGAAAATGTGGTATAGTTTTTTACTCATTGAGTATTGTTTCGCGACAGCAAAAACCATTAAATTAAAAAATCACAAGAAGTTCAGTTAGAAAATTAAGAAATTAATAAGCAACTAGTTTTAAGGTAAAACAAAAAAACAGAAACGCATAAAAATAAAATGAATTTTCTTTAAAAATATGTAAAGGATAAAAATTGGAAATCAATTTTTTTTATTGAGAAATATATATACAGTCGACTCTCGTTAATTCAAACCTGCGATAATTCGAACCTCTCTATAATTCAAAGTTATCACGAGGTCCCTACGAAATCTCTTTATATTTCGAAATAAATCAATACATTTTCATACACTTGGTAATTCGAACGAAAAAATCATTGATATTTAACAAAACCACGCGTTAATTCGAACTCATCAGCGTCTAACACTCGACAATTCAAAGTTGCAGAGAAAAAATTTTGCGACAAGTTCAAACTTGCCTTTGTTTTTGTTTTGATTATGTAGTTTTTGACGCACACACTTCTTACGAATTGGTTTGTGTAGTTATTCAGTTACTGTTACTCTTTCGTTGGTATGCATATTAAAAGATAGTGTTAGCTATGAGCCCTAGAACAATTTTCGAACCATTTGATATTTCAAACACTCGATAATTCGAAATATTTCAAGAGTCCCTCGAGTTTCGAATTAACGAGAGTCGACTGTATTTGGTTTTTGTTTTGTTGTGAATTTTCAAAGATTTGTTTAATCTGTACCAAATAAAGAACTAGAAATTTATTTTCGGTGTACAATCTGCTCGCGCGCAATTAAAATCCAATGGCGCTGAACTCAAAGTTATAGTTCTTCTGGTGGTGGATCTGGGTCTGGATCTTGAGTGAATAATGCCAGCGGGTTGGGGAATGGATGGGAGTGCACTGGCGACGACGGCTTAGAATGCATTTAATTAAATTTGAACGCTAATTGCCGCTTTAAGGCGTCGCGCGTGTCGCCTCAATTGATGGGGCCCCGAAAACCCTTTCAAGTGGCCTCATCCCCTCATTGCCCCTCGAAGTCAACCCCTCGGCGGGCCATTGAATGCATCCATCTTCTATATGCTATATGCACCCCATCCACCACCCGCAGCTGGAGAGCCTCTTGTCGGAATTTGATTGTTTGATTGAATAAAAAACGAAGAAAACCGAAGGAAGGGCATCGCTTGATGTCTTGGAGGTAATAGAAAAATGCAATTATTATTTTGGAGGGGTGTAAA